TCGACACAACTGATCGGCGTCTGCGACCTCGAGCGAGGGGACGGTAATCGGAATAAGCAACCGCAAAACCCGTCGTAAACGTGAGGAGCATGATCAAGGCGTGTAGATCAGACCGTGGGCTCGACTGAGCCCGTGTGGGAAAGGAACCCGCTAAGATCGCATCACAACGACACTCAAAACCGTTACACTAGCTCCATCCAATCGAACCAACATCCATCATCGACGTAAGCGGCAACCTTTAGCGTACTTTCCACCTCTAGCCGTCCACCCATACCTCCCGCCATTCACGATACCTCCGCCCGAGAACAATCCCCAATCATGAGAAACATCTAGAAGAGGTGGTAGAGCAGCAACGGCGGCAGCGAGCGCAGGAATGCCACGATTCCAGTAGGCAGAACGAACATGTTCGTCGTGCAGGGCGGTCTGCACAAGCTCCCTGTGCAGGAGGAGGAGGAGGAGGAGGAGGAGGAGGACGAAGAGGAGAGGGAGGAGGAGAGGAAGGATGGGGGTAGGCAGGGATAGGGAAGGACTCCCGCACTTGTCCTCCCGTTGGCCTTGGAGGCGCCGCCCAATATTTGTGGCAGCCCCGCCAGAGCCGCTGAGGACCGCGGCGTCTTGCCTCCGCCCCCGTGCCTGGACATGGCGCCAGACAGGGGCCATGCTCGGGTCGGACGAACAGGGGGGGTCAGCAAAAGGGGGTATTGAGAATCTCGGAGGGCCCAGACAGAAAGGTGCGTCGACAGATCGTGCGGTGAGCTCTGGGACCCTGCCGGCCCCAGTCGCCCGAGACCTCTCTGGAGAACGATACGAGTCCCAAAACCAAGCGGTCACCTCGAATCCCCACTGACTCACCACACGGTGTGGTCACCACACCGAGTGGAGGGCCCCTGGGAATCGGATCGCGCAGCAAACTTATGACTGGCGCCTCCAGGCGCCAAGGCGCCCATGTATGGTCCAGGGCCTGGGCCCCTCCCCCCTCATGCTGATGCCATCGGCCCCCCCCCCCCCCCGCGCGACGGTCCCCCCCCCCCCCCCTGTGGGTGTGGTGTGGTGCTGTGGGTGTGGCGTGTGTGGCGTGGTACTGTGGGGCTCGAGGAGAGCTCCGGAGGTCGTCGTCGTCGCCGCAGCCGCCGTCGTCGTCGGAGGGCTCCAGAGGTCGGCGCTGCCGCCGCCGCCGCCGCCGCCGCCGCCGCCGCCGCCGCCGCCGCCGCCGTCGTCGTCGTCGCGTCGCCGTCGTCGTCGTCGTCGTCGTCGTCGTCGTCGTCGTCGTCGTCGTCGTCGTCGTCGTCGTCGTCGTCGTCGTCGTCGTCGTCGTCGTCGTCGTCGTCGTCGTCTCGCCGTCGTCGTCTCGCCGTCGCCGTCGTCGTCGTCGTCGTCATCGTCGTCGTCTCCGTCGTCGTCGTACCCCCATCCAATCCCATCAGGGGGGGGGGGCGTGGAGCCCTGGGGCCCATCCCATCTGGGAGCGGGGGGCCGTGGGCCTGGCGCCCGGGACCATAGATCGGGAAAGCGCCTGGCGGCGGGGCCCAACCCAGCTGCATGGCAGCAGTCTTCGTCCCCCGCCTTCCCGGATCCCTCCCATCACGTCCGACCCGACAGGCGCGCCCCCCCCGCCGCCCCGCCGCACGACCAAAATGGCTACAGCGAGATCGGGCCATGGACCCAGACATCGGGCGTCTCGAAAAAAATCGAGGCGCAATTTTTTTGCAGTTTGTGGCCTCTCGGGGCCTTCGCCGGGCCTCGGGACCGTCAAAAAACGACTCGGGATGAAAAACCGGTCCCGGGGAAGTGGTCGGGAGGTCGGGGGCCCGCGTCTCGAAAAAATCGAGACGTCGGATGTCTGGGTAGGTCAGGGGCAGGGAGCGCCGAACCTCCCGCGGGCGAAGGCTGCTGTCGGCAGAGCTGGCGCCCTCAGGGGCGGGCCCCCGGGGCCCGCATCAAGACCGGCCCGCGGCGCGAGGCCCGCGCGAGTGTTGGGGTCGGGAGATCCGCCGCCCTGCGGATAGATCTTGGGGGGCTACATGCGACCCCCCCCCCCTCCGAGCGAGGTGAACCCCACCCTCCCCCTCAGAAATCGTGGGGAGCAGGGGCAAGGTTCGCATGTGGCCCCGGGCCTGGGATGTTCGCCCGCGCCGTTGCCCCTCGTCTGCTCAGAAGCTGCTGCGGTTGGTGAAGAGTTTTCCACCTTCACCCTCTGTGTACCCCCTCTCTCCCCTCTTCTTTTCTCGTCCTTCCTTCCCTCCCTTGTCGCCGCGTTCGTGTCGCGTTGTGTCGCCTGTGCCCCTGGACAGAATGCCCCAGACGCCCGCAGCCCCCCCTCCCCTGGCCGAAGGGGAGGGCCGCGTGCACAGCCCTCGAGCCTGCTCGCCGCAGGGTGGCCCGGCGTGCACACCAAACGGGGGAGGAGGAGGAGGGGGAGGAGGAGGAGGAGGAGGAGGAGGAGGAGGAGGAGGAGGAGGACGAGGAGGAGGAGGAGGCGGAGGAGGAGGAGGAGGAGGAGGAGGAGGAGGGAGGAGGAGAAGGAGGAGGAGGAGGAGGAAGAGGAGGAAGAAGAGGAGGCCTCATCAGGCCCTCTTTGGGCCTCCTGGGGGCCTTCTGGCCGCGACAGAGCGCGCGCCACCAGTGGGCCTTCCTTCGCGGGCCTCGCTTCCCCAAGACGCGGCGTGCGCGCCGCCCGCGCCCACGCGCCAGCTCCTGCCACGGGAGGACAAGGACGAGAAGGAGGAGGACGTGGAGGAGGAGTCTGAGAGGTCTGCGAAAGAGGAGGGAGGATGAGAGGAGGAGGAGGAGGAGGAGGAGGAGGAGGAGGAGGAGGAGGGGGAGGAGGAGGAAGGAGGAGGAGGAGGAGGAGGAGGGAGGAGGAGGAGGAGGAGGAGGGAGGAGGAGGAGGAGGAGGAGGAGGAGGAGGAGGAGGAGGAGAGGAGGAGGAGGAGGAAGGGGGAGGGGGAGGAGCAGAAGCGGGAGCACGAGACGGTGGATTGTGAAGGCGGAGGACATGGAATCTGAGGAGGTGGAGGACCGATGGGCGGGAGGGAGAGGGAGGCGGATGGATGGGCAGGAGGTGGACGAGGAGGGATGCGCAGGAAGAGGGACGTGGAGGAATAGGGTCAGGAGGAGGAGTACGGCAGGTTCGCGTCGTGTAGACCCCAGCGCTGGTTCCTGACACCGCAAGGATCGTTCAACCTTGAACGATCGGTCGTTCCCGCACCGTCCGATCGTTCAACGTCGACCGATTCTGGGTCGCTGGCGGCGTTCAACTTTGAACGCCGGCGGCGGGGTCGCCGCAGGTCGACACGACGTGGACCCACCGTATGCAGGGGAACGGAAGGCGGACAAGGCAAGAACGCCAGGGGGAGGCATCAAGAACCCCAGGGAGGCATCGACCTGGTGGCCACCGCCCGCTGCCTGGCACGACGCCGACGCCAGCCGAGCGTGAGTCTGATCGACTGGCGGGCAGCGTGAGCCGGTGTCAGGGCTGCCTCAGGGGTGAAAGGGGCCTGGCGGCACGCGCCCTCTTGGTGGGCCATCTCGCGCCCCCGTGCGAGCGGAGCTAGCAAGCCGCAGATGCAGTAGCATGAGGGGTTGCGGGGGAGGGCTGGGCTCGAGGAGGGAGGAAGTAGGGGTGGCGGCGGATGAGGGGGGAGGAGGAAGGAATACGGATGATGGAGGAGGAAAGGAGGAGTGAAATGGAAGGCTACAAAACCATCGACCACTCAATCGTATCATGAATATTGCTGGACGCGCAAGCATGCATCAACTGCAAGGGCACTGCACGCAGTGATCACGACAGCTGAAATTGGCAACAACGATGTGCAACATATCGAGAGTGGCGAGGAGGAGACAGAACGAGGAGGAGAGTGATGATGTTGGTGAAGCAAATGACGATGACGATAACGATAACGATGATTAGATGATGGTGCAAATGATGCTGATGATGAAGATGATGATACAACTGATGATGATGCTGATGATGGTGATGGTGATGGTGATGATGATGATGATGATGATGATGATGGTGATGGTGATGAGGATGATGATGGCGATGATGAGGAGGATGCTGATAATGAGGATGATGAAGATTGTGCTGATGGTGATGAGGATGAGAAGGATGCTGCTGCTGATGTTGATGATTTCGATGATGATGGTGATGATGATGATGCTGCTGATGATGACGATGATGATGATGAGGATGAGGATGATGATGATGCTGCTGCTGATGATGATGATACTGACGAGGATAATGATACTGATACTGCTACTGATGATGATGATGATGATGATGATGATGATGATGCTGATGATGATGATGATGATGATGATGATGATGATGATGGAGATTATGAGACGGCGCAGACGTGACGTGGAGGCGGATGCGGAAGGGAAGAAGGAAGCATAAGGAGGCAGGAGGAAGGCGAGGTCGGAGGGACGAGATACGATGAGGACAAGTGACCGGAATGAGGAGGAGGAGGAGGAGGAGGATGAGGAGGAGGAGGACGAGGTGGGTGAGTAGGACCGCACCCTAATGGCGGCGTTGGCTGGGGCTGCAGGCGCGACTGCCTCCTCGTGATCGATGTCGATGAAGGCGATCGGGCAGCCCTCTCTCGGCCACGCCAGCCCTCGGGGGGGCTTCCTGTCCTCGGGGGGGGGGGGGCAGCAGGGGTGGAGAGTGGAGTGGCGTTGAGTGGACAGCGCTGCGATGCAGGTTCTGAATTCTAGGAACGCCTGGACTGGAGAGCATTCGATCGCCGAGTCGATTGCCCAGCACGGCTCCAGACTTTGGGGCTCCACCCCGTGGCAATCCTGTCGAGATGCGCTCTACCCGTGGCAGACTTCCTGTGCGTACAAGGGCCTTTGAGGGTCCGAACGGCCTTGTTGGCAATAGCCGCACACTCAGTGGCGGAACAGGGAGATCAGGACCAGAGCTCCGAGAGAACCTCTTGTCCCCTTCAGCCACAGAGGTACGACAGGATCGGAGGACACAAGCGCAAGGGGACTCAAACTCAGAGCTTGAGCGCCTCTGGGGCTACGCCGAACGCTAGCTTCCCCTGCTCGAAAAGCCGCTTCGGGAGGAGAGGGGAAGGGAGGAAGCAAAGGAGGAACAGGGAAATGAAGATATGAATCCAAGGAAGTCGCTCCCTCCTCTACTGCCTTCACATTCCAATCCCCTTGAGATTCAAATTAACCGTTAGGCCCTCTCCCCCACATGAATGGTAAATCGATGTTTCAGCAACTGGGCTGCACAAAATGTCGCCGCGCTAGTGGCACCCGTGGAACATGATATGACATGTAGTTGTGGGATCTTGTCGTATGCATCTGGGATGGCCGGATGTAGTCAGGGTGAAGGAACCACTAGTTAGGTTCGCAGCAAGCAAATGCAGCGTGCAATTGAGCCGAAGGGAGTAATGCAATTGCGCAAATGACGCAGTCATTACGAGTACTGTGATGAGCGAAGTTGCGCGATGACACTTGCAGTGCGTATGCCATATGTTGGCACGCTGACAATGCCCTGCGAGTAACACCCACCATCCAACCATCATCCGCGCTTTGTTTCATAAACCAGCTCCTCCTCCTCCTCCTCCTCCTGCTGCTACTGCTGCTCTTGCTTCTAGTAATAATGATGCTCTTTGTCCCTCTCGAGCCCTGCCCCCGTCTCTGTCCCTGGCATCTTGCCCCTCAACAAGAGACCACCACTAGGCGGGCTGGGTGGGCCCTAACGGGCGGGCGGGCCACAAGAATGTGGGGCCACGCGGTGGGCAGCACGCGCGAGATCCTGCCGTGACGGGGCCACAACTCGGGCGGGCGGCTCGGGTCGGGCTGGCGGACCCAAGCCCAGACAGACCCCGACGTCCTGATTTTTTCATGACGCAACCCCCAGACGTCCGGACCCATTCCCTGGGCCCGCTTTTTCATCCTGAATCGTTTTTTGACGGTCGTGGGGGCCGATAGGGGCCCCTGGAGGCTGGGGGCCGAGAAGGGCGCCCGAAGGCCGACAATAATAAAAAAAGCTGCCGTCGTGATGCCCCAATCGGTGCATGCATTGAAGGGGTCCTAGCGGAAATTGAAAGATTTGACGAAAACTTCTCGCCGATTTTGGTAGCCGGCTGGGTTCCCGGGCTCCCGGTTCCGGGTTCCCGGGTTCCTGGTTATCGGTCGGTTCCGCGGGCCGATGTCGGTGGGTTCCGGGTTCCCGGGCTCCCGGGAACCCGGAACCCACCTGGGTCCCGATGCGTCCCGGGTTGCTTGGGTTTTTTTTTCTTTGGTGCCATTTTTGCATGACTCGAGGGGGTATGGGGTCGGGCCGGCGGATCCAAAACGTGAGCGCCAAGAACCGGGAGAAAGAGGAGAAGGAGCAGATGATGATGATCATGATGAGGAGGAGGAGGAGAAGGAGCAGGAGGAGGAGGAGGAGGAGGAGGAGGAGGAGGAGGAGGAGGAGGAGGAGGAGGAGAGAGAAGAAGCGGAGGAGGAGAAGGAGGAGGCGAACGAGGAGGAGGAGGAGGAGGAGGAGGAGGAGGAGGAGGAGGAGGAGGAGGAGGAGGAGAACGAGGAGGGGTAGGAGGAGGAGAAAGAGGAGGAGAAGGAAGATCACAGCGTGCTCCCCGCCCGGCCTCGTCGGCGCCTGCTGCGGCGCCTCTGCCCTGCGGGCCTGCGCCGCTGCCCGCGGCCTCCAGGCGACTTCTGACGGAGCCGGGGCGCAGTGCGGGCCTACAGAACCAGAGGATTGCAAACAAACCGTCCGCCGCCATGTGTTTCTCGACGCGAACCCAGGCACGATCGCGTCGTTGAATAGTTCGGAGGGGAGGTTTTTGGCCGTGTTCGGCCTCGGGGAGCCCTCGCCGCGCCTCGGGGCCGTAACAAAAGCGATTCCTGATGAAAAGCTGGTCCTGGGGAAAGAATAAGGACTTCCAGGGACGCCGTCCTGAAAAAATCAGGACGCCGCAGTTCTGGGAAGAGATCCGCCGACTCCTTGGGGCTTATCGGCGTGTGAAATGTTTCCCCCTCCCCAAACCCCTCCCCCGGGAGCCCAGCCCGGTCGATTTGGAGGGGGGTCCCCCGGGAGGTGGGTGAATGCGCCCATGTGCGCAAAGGGCCCCAAAACAAGTCAAGAGGGCCCCAAGAAGCCCTTGGGGCGGTCCACGACGGCTACAAATCGCCGAAAGATCAATCCAAAACGCCCAGGCTGGCCTCCAGAAAGCCAAAAAGGCCCCCAAGACGCCCCAAGAAACCCCCAACAGGCGCCCCGAGAGGGCCTCCAGAAGCACGAAATCGTCCCTTTCCTGCGGAAAATGTGCATTTTCAGCAGATTCGCCTTTTGGGTGTTCACAACATTCCGGACGGCCCGAGAGGCCGTGAAGATCGCCCCTCAATGGGCCAAGAGGCCCCCCAAGAGGGCTCCAAGACGACCCAAGAGGGCACCAAGACGGTCTACGAAACCCCCAAGACGGCCCAGGAGGGCCCCAAGACAGCCCCAAGAGGGGGCCCAGAGGGGGAACCCGAAGGAAAATTTCGAGCCATCCACCCCAAGACGCCTCCAGGTTGCCCCAAAGAGCCCCCAACAGGCCCCCAGAGAGCCCCAAGACGGCCGCAACAAGCCCCCAAGAAACCCCCAAGAGGCCCCCAAACATTTCAAAAACTGCATCCCAAACGACCCTGACACGCTTCCCACGAGACCCCATCATCCATCCGAGCGGCCTCAGACCCGCAACCCAGTCACGGTGGCGGGATGTGCCGAAAGCCATTCGATAATTATGCGTCGGGTGTTTTGGCAATATATATATATATATATATATATATATATATGTATATATAGATATGTGTGTGTGTGTGTTTGTTATCGCCGTTTCCCCACGCGTGCCCGCTACCCTGTGCCGAGCCCAAACCACTTGCATCAAGGACAAAAGGATGTTGCCCACAATTGCCAGGACAATGGCCGTGCAGGCGCCGTTATATGATGCGCAAGCTACATGGGATGCGCACACGTGGCACGATTCACAAGACAACGACAGACGGATAAGGAGAGAGGGCCCAGGCTTGAAGAGGATAATGGGGGCGGCAACGAAGGGCAGGAAAAAAATGCGCGGGGGGCCGAACCGTCAGCGCGGCAGCAGCAAAGGGAAGCTGGCAGCGGGCAGAGGACCACGACGACAGTGACGGGAGGAGGCCGAATAGTGTTTGCTCCCTCAGGCGTTCCCCGAAGGCTCTCTAAACCGACTCGGGGAACAACTGGCCCGCTAGCTTGGCCAGGCTCTAGCCCAGCTGTCGGCCACAAAGGCGCTTCCACAAAGGCAGGGATCGGCGGTGATTCGCCGTAGGCGTCTTAGATAATCATGCGCCGGGTGTTTTGACAGATGCCCTCCGTCTGTATACGCGGGTTCTCGCCGCATTCCCCATGCGTGCACGGCGAATACTGAGAATGTCAGCCCAAGAGGCCCCAAAAAGGCCCCTACGAAGCCCCGAAGGAGCTCCAATAACCCCCTCAAATACGAACAAAAGGCCTTCAACAACAACACAGAATAACCGCCTTTTCCCCGAGGGGTCGGCGGTGTGGCGTTAGCCCAAGAATCCACGTCCGGAAGTGACGTGTTGCCGGAGGCAGGTCGCGCAGCGGAGCGGAAGCCCTAATGCAACGTATCCAATGTTTCCAATGATTGCATAATTGCCACATGTTGTATTGTGTTACATTATTATGTCACCCCCCTTAATCCCCCCCAGGGCCGCCGCCGAGTCGCCGACCCCTTTCGTGCACTAATTCAACAACCTACAAAAACCTATGGCAATCATTGATTTCGGCCTCTGGGCCCTCCTCGGAGCCCACAAGGGGCGTCAAGACGGCTCAAGATGGCTTCAAGGCGGCCGAAGAGAATCTCAAAACGGCCTCAAGACGACCCAAGATGGCCCCAAGAGAGCCCAAAAGCTCACAAAACGCCGCAAGAGGGTCCAAAAAGGACCCCCCAAGATCGCCTCCAGAAGCCAAAATCATAATTTTTCCTATGGTTTTGGGAATAGTTTCGCGTTCTCGCCTTTCTCGACGCTGACAAGCCAATGACGGCCCAAGCACCCTCCAAAAGCACCCCAAGAAGCTCCAAGAAGCCTTCCAAAGGGCCCCAAGACGGCCCGAGAGGGCCCCAATACGGCCCAAAGGGGCCCCCAAGACGGTCCAAGAGGCAGCGAAGACGGCCAAAAAAAATCCCAAGAATGCCCCAAGGCGGCCGTGGGAGGCCCCCAAGACGGTCTCCGAAGGGGCGAAACGGCGGAAGAGCGCCCCAAGACGGGCCAGGACGCCCCCAAGAGGCCCCAAGATGCCCCAAATAGGCCCCCAAGGGGCCTCAAGAAGTCCCCAAGAGGGAGGCATGGCGGCCCAAACTGCCTCCAAAATTGCCACCGAGAGGATGACGCATGCGACGGGGGCGCAGGCGGGCCTCTTCCCGCAATTAGACACGATGACGACGACGTCCCTGATGATAGCGGCAGGTGGCAGGTGGAGCGATATCTTTAGACTACGCGCACCTCTTCCCTCGCTCGCGCGTCTTCGCGCAATCTGCGCACTTCCAGTCCGGGGCAGCGCGAACTGTCCACCAGCGGTCGTGCGGCCGCGGCGTTTTCTTGCACGCGCTGCATGGCGGCCAGAAGCACGCGTCGCACGTGTACCTCGGCCCTTCCCAGTTCAGAGAACGCCGACCAATTTTGGCCGCGTCTGGTGACGGGGCGCTACAGACCACGCACTGACCGACCCGCGGGCACGCCGGGCACGTCCACGACGGCCTGTTCGCCGCCAGGTACTTCGTGCTTCGCGGCCGCGGGGCTACCTTGCAGACGTCGCAGTTCGGAAATCCACGTCCGGAGGTGACGTGCTGAGCGGCAGCGTTTTTCGGCGAACGCCTTAATGCAACGTATCCAATGTATCCAAAGATTCCAGAATTGCAACAGATCGTATTGTGTTACATTATTACGTCTCCCCCCCTAACCCCCCCCTGGGAGCTGCGCCGCACCGCCGGACCAAAATGATCCCCCCCTTCTGGGACCCTAAAAACATACAAAAACCTATGAAAAATCAGCCTCTTGGGCCTCTTGGGGTTCCAAGAGGGCCTCAAGATGGCCCAAGATGGCCCTAAGACGGCCCAAGATATTCCCAACGGGGGCCCATGAGGCCCCCAAGACGGCCCCAAGAGGGCCCCAAAAGCTCCAAGGACGGCCCAACAGGGCCCAAGAGCGCCCATAACTGCGCCTCCAGAGGCCGAAATCATTGATTGTCCGATGGTTCTTGCAACATTTTTGCGTTCTCATCTTTTTCGGCTTTCAAAAATCCATGACGGCCCAAGCAGCTTCCAGAATCGCCCCAGAACAGCCCAACAAATCCCCAAGAGGGCCCCAAGACGGCCCAAGAGGGCCCCAAAACAACCCAAAGAGGCCCCCAAGACGGTCCAAGAGGCAGCGAAGACGGCCCAAGAGGACCACAAGAGGGCTCCAATGCGGCCGCGAGAGGCCCCCAAGACAGCCTCCGAGGGGGCGAAACGGCGCAAAAGCGCCCCAAGACGGCCCAAGACGCCCCCAAGAGGCCCCAAGAGGCCCCCAACAAGCCTCCAAGAAGTCCCCCAGAAGCCTCCAAAAGGCCTCCAACAAGCCCCCCAAAGGCCACACAGCGACTGGTGTGTAATGTAATTTCCCCCCCTTTGGGCGAACTGCGGCGCAGCGCCAGCCGCGTGGAAGTTAGTCACTGCGGCGCCCATGATTGGAGCCGGCGATGGAAGGGAAGATGGGGGAGGGTGTATGAAAAGGAAGGAGGGGGGAACGCCCCCAAAGAAACCCCCCAAAGGCCAAAAGAAACTCCCAGGAGGCCTCCAGGAGGCCCCCAAAAGGCTCCCAAGAGGCCCCGCGACGACGTGACTGTACGTGCTCCGGACGTGTACCCCGCGAAGCGAGAGGAATCCACGTCCGGAGGTGACGTGCTGAGCGGCAGCGTTTTTCGGCGAACGCCTTAATGCAACGTATCCAGTGTATGCAAAGATTCCATAATTGCAACATGTTGTATTGTGTTACATTATTATGTCACCCCCCTAACCCCCCCTGGGAGCTGCGCCACACCGCCGGACCAAAATTACCCCCCTTCTCTGGGGCCCTAAAAACATACAAACACCTATGAAAAATCATCAACTTCGGCCTCTTGGGCCTCTTGGGGCGCCAAGAGGGCCTCAAGATGGCCCAAGATGACCCCAAGACGGCCCAACATATTCCCAACGGGGGCCCATGAGGCCCCCAAGACGGCCCCCAAAGCTCCAAGGACTGCCCAAGAGGGCACCAAGAGCGCCCACAACTGCGCCTCCAGAGGCCGAAATCATTGATTCCCCGACGGTTTTGTAATATTTTAGCGTTCTCGTCTTTTTCGACTTTCACAAATCCATGACGGCCCAAGCAGCTTCCAGAATCGCCCTGTAACAAACCAAAAAGCCCCCAAGAGGGCTCCAAGACGGCCCAGGAGGGCCCCAAAACGGCCCAAAGATGCCCCCAAAACAATCCAAGAGGCCGCGAAAACGACCCTAAAGGACCCCAAGAGGGCTCCAATGCGGCCGCGAGCAGCCCCCAGGACAGCCTCCGAGGGGGCGAAAAGGCGCAAAAGCGCCAAAACGGCGGAAGACGCCCAGAAGAGGCCCAAAGAGGCCCCCAAGAAGCCTCCAGGACGCCCTCCAAAAACCTCCAAAAGGCCCCCAGAAGGCCACACAGCGACTGGAGTGTAACGTCACTTTCCCACCTCTGGGCGAACTGCGGCGCAGCGCTAACCAGGTGAAGTTGGTCACTGCGGCGCCCATGATTAGAGCCGGCGCTGGAAGGGAAGATGGGGAGGGTGTGTGAAAAGGAAAGGGGAGGAGCCCCCAAAAAGCTCCCAGGAGGCCTCCATGAGGCCCCCAAGAGGCTCCCAAGAGGCCCCGCGACGACGTGACTGTACGTGCTCCGGACGTGCACCCCGCGAAGCGAGAGGAATCCACGTCCGGAGGTGACGTGCTGAGCGGCAGCGTTTTTCGGCGAACGCCGTACTGCAACGCATCCAATTTATATCCAATGATTGCATACTTGGGAGCTGCGCCCATGAAAATCAACACATTCGGCCTCTTGGGCCTCTGGGGGCTCCTCGAGGGCCTCAAGATGGCCCAAGATGGCCCCAAGACGGCCCAAGACGGCCCCAAGACGGCCCAAGACGGCCCAAGATATTCCCAACGGGGACCCATGAGGCCCCCAAGACGGTCCCAAGACGGCCTCAAAAACTCCAAGGACGGCCCAAGAGGGCCCCAAGAGCGCCTACAACTGCGCCTCCAGAGGCCGAAATAATTGATTTCCCGGTGGTTTTTGCAATATTTTAGCGTTCTCGCCTTTTTCGACTTTCACAAATCCATGACGGCCCAAGCAGCTTCCAGAATCGCTCCAAAACAAACCAAAAAACACCCAAGAGGGCGCCAAGACCGCCCAGGAGGGCCCCAAAACGGCCCAAAGAGGCCCCCAAGACGGCCCAAGATGCCGCGAAGTCGGCCCAAGAGGACCCCAAGAGGGCTCCAATGCGGCCGCGAGAGGCCCCCAAGACAGCCTCCGATGGGGGCGAAACGGCGCAAAAAACGCCCCAAGACGGCCGAAGACGCCCCCAAGAGGCCCCAAGAGACCTCGAAAAAACCTCCAAGAAACCTCCCAGAAGCCTCCAAAAGGCCCCCCAAAAAACCCTCCAAAGGCCACACAGCGACTGGAGTGTAATGTCATTTTCCCCCCTCTGGGCGAACTGCGGCGCAGCGCCAGCCAGGTGGAAGTTGGTCACTGCGGCGCCCATGATTAGAGCCGGCGCTGGAAGGGAAGATGGGGAGGGCGTATGAAAAGGAGGGAGGGGGGAAAGGCCCCAAAGAAGTCCCCAAGAGGCCGAAAGAAACTCCCAGGAGGCCTCCAGGAGGCCCCCAAGAGGCTCCCAAGAGGCCCCGCGACGACGTGACTGCACGTGCTCCGGACGTGCACCCCGCGAAGCGAGAGGAATCTGGGTCCTGTCTTGCCCCGACTCCGTCGGAAGTCTCTGCCCCAACGACGTGGTCTGCCGCGCAGGAAGATTGGGAGCAGGAGGGATATTAGGGGGGGGGGGCGAGCCCGACGCATGGCCTGGTGCCAGCGCGACCTGACCTTCGCCCGCGCCGCCCTCGAGCAGCGCGTGCATCCGCCTGCGAGCAGCCAGGGGGGGCCTCGCCCACACTCCGCGGCCGCCACAGCAGCGCGCGCAGGGCACCGAGCCAGCACTGGCAGGCCGCTGGCCTGGCCTTCTGGGACGCCGTGCCGACAAGTGCAGCCCGCGCCTCGTCCGGAAAGCTCGGCCCGACCTCGAAGCAGGTGCGCGCGTGCTGCACCCGCGCCGGCACGGGGGGGAACGCAGTGGTCCTGCCGGTCGCCCGCGAGCATGGCGTACGCCCAGCCCACTTCGGCACGCCCCTCTCGAGGATCGTGCCCCCACTGACAGCTCCACCCGTGCCCGCGGTGGAGGAGCTCGCACGGCGCCCACACCGCCCATTTCGCCACACCCCTCACAAGGATCAAGCCCCTATAAGGGGGCCCCACCTATGGCCCCAGTAGAGGAACTCGCATGGCATCCCCCGTGGCGTTCGGCAGACCTCTCACGAGGATCGTGCCCCCAAATGGAGGAACTCGCATAGCGTCATCCCGCCATTTCGGTACACCACTCACGAGGATCGTACCCCCATTTGGAGCTCCACCTATTGTCCCAAGCATACCGCCTTTTTGGCACACCCCTCGCTAAAATCGTGCTCCACAGGGACTCGCGACTTCGACGTCGCATCGACATGCTATAATAAATGCTCGTCCTCGGCATCGGCCCACGCCTGCCGCCTGCTATCATTCATGCTTGTCCTTCTTGTGCGAACTAAGTCGTTTTGGTCGTCCCCTTCCTTATTCCCACCTGCATCACGGTGCTACCACCCGATGTCAAGACACGCCGAAAGTGGCCATTTCCGGAACGCGCCATGTCGCGCCGCGCAGCGGAGGGAGCACGAGGACCCCACGACACAAGAAGGTTGCGAAACAACCTCCGAGGTCAACATCGAGCGGTGCCAAAACGCAATGCAACATCCAGGAGTTGATTCAGTGTAGATCAATGGTCCTCCCGCTGCGTCTATCAAAGATCGGGTTTCTGCCTCCGTGCAAACATTCTCTGGCAAGAGAGGGGGTGCATCGTGTGTCTTGCCCCGCGCTTATGGCAGACACTTGGGCCCAAAACGAAAGGGTGCTCAGGCGGATGCTCGGCAACCAGAGTTCTTCGCCACTCCCTGCCGTGGCGCGCGGGGATATAGTCCTCTGCCTTGACCCCGCTCTTCACTCGGCCAGCGTAGAACGACCGAGACGAGAACTCGGCAATCATGGGGTGGCTTCGGTACCTGGCGCATAATGCGGGCGTCGTCGTCAACATCGTCAACAAGCTCGCCATTCTCTTCCTCCTTCTCCTCCTCATCATCGCCACGCTCTACTCGCCCCTACCCTTCCTTCGTGCGCCCCCCCCCCCTCCGCCGCCTGTACATGCGACCCTGCTCGCCTCACTCTCCTCCTATTCATTACCCCCCTGTGCTCCTACTCCTCCTCATCCACCTCTTCCTCCTGTCCCCATCCTCATATTCCTCCCCATGCTCCGCGCCCTCCTCCCCAACCTCAGGATCGGCGGCACCGGCCGTAAGGACTTCGCAATACGGGCGGATATACGTGGAACAGACTTCCAGCTTGCATCGCATCAGACATGCACTTAGTTGTGCGTGAGATTCCACACTGCGCTGCACGGTGCGCCTGAACCTACAACTGCGCTGGCACTACTTTTCGCATGCTCACTTGCATATGGAATGTCCTGTGTATGCTGGCCGGGCCATAGCGCTCGATGGTTCAGTGTGGCGGCGTTGATGTGGGTGCTGATTGTGCTGCGTTGTCAAAAAACGTTGCACCTCTTTTCCAAGTGCCTGCACATTGTACAACGTTTACGTATAATGAGCCACGCCCGCGCCATAGGGAACACGCCACCTGGATGGGTTGATGTTTTTTTCGGGACACGAGGAGCAGCGGGCACATCACGACGACTTACTCGGCGACGCATTCGTGAAGCCACTGAGCTACCGGAAATGCCGTGTACTCAAATGGAATTGAAGCTCCTATTCATGTAGACGGGCTGTCCTGCAAGCGATGGTTGATATAATCGGCCAGTGCCTCCCTGGCAGCGGCAGGCAACACACAGTGAATGTGGGGAAGTGCGTCATTGTTGTGAATATTGCTGGAAACGTCATGCTATCCAACACTGTGCCTACATACGTGCTGTTACAAGCGGTCTTCCTGGTCAAGCGGCCACGCGATATCTGGTGCAAGTTGACTTCGTAAGTGCTCCTCCTCCTCCTCCTCCTCCTCCTCCTCCTCCCCGCCCGCCCTCCTCATCTCCTCCTCGGCCGCTTTCTTTCTCCTTCTCCCGTTTTTGATCGCCTCCTTCGCCTCCTTCTCCTCGTCTTCTCCTCCTCCTCCTCCTCCTCCTCCTTTCCCGACGGCACCGCAGCACGAAAGCTGCAGCAAGGCACTGAATTGAAAAGGAGAGGAGGGGGAGGAGAAGCATGAGGAGGAGGAGGAGGAGGAGGAAACTTGTATATTGACGCGCGCACCCGGTGCCCCACCCACTACTGCGAAAATTGGTTCGGTGCCGCGCACACCTGCGTGATAGGTACCGCCCTCGTCGCTTCTAGTCTCCCTTCGCCGAACTTTCCCGCGCCACCCGCCTTCATTGTATGCCAGAAGATGGCTAAGTGCTGTGAACACCGCGCTGCTTTCCCCATCATGGGAAACAAATGTAAACTGAAACGTCAGCTGGCACCGGAGACCATGGCGGCGTACCCGCGGCAATCTAGACACTGCCGCGGGTCGTTCCAGGCTCCCGCGTTTGCCCCTCCTCCCTCTGTTTGCCCCACACCCCTCTCGAACCCCCCACTCAGGGCGCGATGCCGCGGGACGCGCTACTTGGCCAGGAAGAAAGGAACATAGGGAGGCACATATGTAAGAGCGGAGGAGGGATGAAAGGGTGTGAAGTCCTCCTTGGGAGCGGCGCCGCTGGCTGGAGAAGGCGCCAAAGGCCGCGTCTGGCAGCCGAGCTCTGGCAGCTCGGAACAGATGCGTTGCGATAAGAGCAAGCAGCTCCGAAATAGAGCGCTCGGATCACGCTGCTGGGGGGCACTCGGCAAGTCTGTCGCTTACAGCCTCGCGCGGGTTTCTGCCTGAACCGTCTCTGTGAGAGCCACTCCCCGCGCGCGGGAGGCCAAACATGACTCGGCGAAACACGGAGCTGGCCGACCGCTGAAGACTGCGTGGGCTCGACCGCGGTCGCCGCGAACTCGCACTGGTCAGCCCAGACAAGATCCACTTTGCCGCTGGTGCCCTGCATGCCAAAGGCGCGCATGTGGACAGTTTCTGTCAAGACAGTTTCTGGCAAGAGCCACGGTGTCAGAAGGGGGCGCGGGATGGGCAAAGGTGTCCGCCGCTCCAAACATGTAACAAGCATACATGAATGCGATACTCGATCTGCACATCGCGTTGCCGAGCTCATATTGTTTGCAATCAGACCTGGAGCTCGTGGGGGCGGCCCACAGGTTAATCATGGATCTAACAGGGTGGGTGCATCTTTGCCCTCCGAGAAGGCACTGTCGAGCTTCGGACCGCGTCGCGCATGGCGGGTCCGCGAGCACGCCGATCGCACGTCAATGTTTGCTTGATGTGGTTTACGAACGAAAAGATCGCATGTGAATTGGGTTTACACCTTTCACTCTTGGTCCTCATTGTTGGCCACGGGCAGGCTGAGCATGACCAGACGAAGTCTAGAGGCCAAACCCAAGCGTTCAAAATGGGATTGGACATCCCCTGAGCGGCACGGGCCGCCAAACACGTACAGGACGTACAAAACCGCGCGACGCATTCTAGGAATGTTGGAACGGGGCGGGCGGAAAGGTATCTGCTCTACTTTGTGCGCCACGGCTGGGGCTGGGATGCGCGTGGGGTCCCAGAGGTGGCTCGGGGGCGGCGGGGGCAGAGAAGGGCTGTAGCGGGGGAGGTCTCGGCGGATGTGGGGCTAGACCCCGTTGCGCTGAAGGCGACGGTCTCTTATGGTCCTGTTGCCGGAGGGCGTCAATTTCTTTCCGGCGGTAGGAACCGCCCCCCATTGATCAGGCCTTAGAGACATGCTTCCGCACCGTGCTGGCGATGCCTCAGGAGGCGAAGGCGTGTGTGGAAACGTGTGGAAATCGAGAAGACATATATGGCACACTCCCTCCTGGCCCATCCAGGGAACCTTGCGAGATCCGTGCACGGTTAGGCTTTCGTCCGGCGTGATCGCGTTCGTCGCAGGGGTAATTAAGCCAAAAACGGGTCTGGAACCATGCAGGCCCGTGGTGGCGGGAACTCGGCCGCCTGCCAGTGACGGAGGCGATACGGGTCCGCCCACCACCGCTCACGCGCAGAAAAAAAAACGCGCTGAACATGCCCTGCACTTTAAAAGCGATTCTCGGGCGATCCGGATTCATCCGCTGGGTTCCGCAAGTGCGTGCGCCGCCTCCCCTATGAAATAGTGGGTCCACGTGGAAAGTTGCACAGCAAGCAAAAGCCAAGAATCCATATGACGGGCCGTTCATTCCAGAACCAACCAAAGGAGAATGGGGGGCCTTGTGCAACAATTTCAGCCAGCTAGTAGCCGGGTCTGATTCTGCGAAGGCGAATCTCCGCAGGAACCTTTCCAGTGTTCCCCCAAATGTCGTTCGCCGAAGGCTGGGGGTTTGTCAGGCCTCGTTCGTAAACAGGCTGCCGCTTGAAAGCCCAACAAGTGCGCGGACTGCAGCGACTCGAGAGGAAGCGCGCCCAGCCGGTATCCTGCCGCCGCGTCAAAAACACATCGGGATGCGCCCAAAATAATGCGACCACGTGAGTTTCGCGGGGAACGGGAACGGACCCAGAGGGAAAACTAAGTGGACCAGTGGGCCGATGGCATTATGCACCTGTTGTCTCCGATGCGCCGCCTTTGCTGTCTAGGGTGCATAAGCGATGCACCATGCTGCCTATATGCGTGTACTGTGACACCACGTTGAAAGCCTGCCTGTGCCTTGGCGAAAATAAGGGCCGGGTGGGCGACCGAAACAATTGTTTCGTGCAGTGACCGATCCCAGGCCCTGGACGTCGAACAAAACGGCCGTGCTGACGAGACCAGGATGCATCGCAAACCTCGCTTCATCATAGCTCTTGCTAAAATGCCAACACCGCGACCCATGAGCTCCCTAAAACGACTGCTGACCGCTGCTGCAAACAGAGGCAACACCATCCACGAAAGCAACCTCCGCAACCTCCTTCCCGTTTTATTCGTCCAGCGGAGAGACAATCCATTCGGTGGGGTCGTCGAGAAGGAACACACATTCGGAATTTTCCAGGCCCACCCTGATCCAGGCTAGGAGCGGGGCGAATAACACATTCGAAACCCAGTCCACCAGGGGGCAACTTGGACGCGTCCTGTTACGAAAGCGTTCAGATTGCGTCGTCCCCCACCACCTGAAACCATGTGCGTGCATGTGCCTCCTACGCTATGGCCTCCAGAGGCTTGTCTGGAGTAGAGGGATCCACGATGCTGGGCTGGGCCAGGGCAGCCCCGAGGGCAGGAAGCGACGGCAATGGGATGTTCGCGCAGTCCAATTCCTCTGCCAAGTCCTCAGGGCCTGTGGGGAAGGGGAGGACCAAATCGCGCACTACATCATAAAATGCTGCTTTGATGTCGATGAATATCAAAACGGCCGAACCTTTCCTCTGCTGGGCGAGCAGGAGAAGGGTTCGGGCCATGTGCGAAACCACAGCAATGTAGCGACCTTCGAGCCCCCGACACTCTCCCCAAAGGAAATGGTGGCAGAGAGTAGTTGGTCCCGCAAACGTTGGTGGTGGTGTTTGACGGTGCTGATCACGAGGAAGATTTGCCGATTGAAGGCGATATGACGAGACTCCCCGGAACCCTTCTGCAAACGAACCACCGCGTATACAAGAGACCCGCGCTGGGAACTTTCCTCTTCCCGCTTCTTCTTTTCCTCGTCTTTCTCCTGCTCCTCCTCCCTCCTTCTTTATGTATAAATCATCCCTGTCGCAAACCAAGACGGGTCGGTATGGCGGTCCCGCCGCTTCGCCTGGGACCTCCCCACCATTTATGTTCCTGAAGTGTGGCATTTGCAAGAGCTTCGCGAATGAAGGGCGGGTCGTTTTCAAAATGTGATTATCACCTTTGCGCCGCACGCGTTCGTTTTTAAAAGTTTGCACAATTCCAACAAATGGAGGGCGGGTCACTTTCAAAACGTTGCTCTCGCCTTAGCGACGCGCACATTCGTTTAAAGGTTCGCGAAGCATCACGGATGGAGGGCGGCTCCTTTTGAAAATGTGGCTCTCGCCTCAGCGCCGCGCGCATCTGCTTTAAGAACTCACAGCAATTTCCAAGGCACTGGAGGATAACGTCCCGGAAATGGTGTTTCGGCGCGATGTTGGAATGTCAGGGCGCAACAATTGGAATAACTCGCAGAGTTGAAATCTCAGACAGGGAGTCCCAGCACGACTCAGGATCGTCGAAACGCAAACCATAGATGGTCTTGAAACTTCCATGCTGCAACACCTTCACACATAGAAAGCGGTCCGTTTTCCACATGTGGCTCTCGTCTTAGCGCGGCGCGCAATCGTCTTAACAAACTGCAGTGATCGCATGGTTGAAGGGCGGCCCGTTTTCAACCGGTGGTTCTGGCCTGGACGCCGCGCGTACTTGTGTTAGAAAGTTGAACAGTTTCGCGGATGGGGGCAGGTTCCTTTTTAATATGTGGGTTTCGCCTTACAGCATCGCGCGTATGTTCTGAGAGCTTACACCAGTTTCAACGGTTCCCACGGTTGACGCCCAAGACAGGCTGTTTTGGCACGATGTCGAAATGTCGTGGCGCGACAGTTACCTTGATTCGTGGTGTTGCAATCTCACGAATAACGTTTTAGCGCGATTCAAGATCGCCGAGACGCGCTAATAACCGTCACTCGCGACGCTGAATTCCCACACATGGCTTTCTGGCACAGTTTACAATTTTCGAACGGTTGCCTTTCAATGGGGCATTTTCCTCAGTGAGACTGAATCTTTGCAGGAGCCTATGAGGAGGGAGCTTGGAGGGAGGGCTTAGTGCAATATCGTTGATGGGCCTTGGGTTTACACTGGTCCCCCCTCGTCGGCCTGCTCCTCCTCTTCCTCCTTGACCTCTGACGTTGGTTTTTGATTGTTGTCACGACGTGGGTCACTTCAAGTCTGAACCTGCTCCCTGGGACAAGCGTTTCATCTGGAGTCGGTTTGCACGGCCCAAGGGCCAACTGCGGCCTGCCCAGAGGCCGAACATCACAACAACAACACCAGCAACAACAACAACAAGACCAGCAACAACGACAACACCAACAACAACGACGCCTGCCGTTTCTCTCGGCGCGAGGGCTTCTGGACTCCTCCCCAGCCATAGTCCCTCAGCCGCCTCGCCACCCACTCCAAGCCCGCTCGTCGGCCTCCCCATGCCAAACCAGAACTCATGATATTCGACGCCAAGAACGGCCTTGCGACTGAGTATGCGCAACAAGATAACTGACCGGATCTGGAGGCATGGCGCCGTATGCCATGAACGCGCCAGCTCTGCAGGGGTAATGCCCTCGGGCCCAACTGGGACCCGGAACAAAAAAAGACTAAAGGGTCCAGCGGGAGTCACTCCGTCAGAGCGGGGCGGATGGGGACATCTGCCTGCAAAGTAGGGAGGGGAGGACGACGACGACGAAAAGAAGGAAGAAAGGAGAGAAACGAGATCTGGGGGCGGCGCTCAAGCCCTAAGAGAAGGCGTTCACACGTGTGGGTTGTTGAATGAACACCTGATGCAACAAAGAGATCAACACACAGGACGGGGAAAAAGTGCAGCATCTTCGCATCGTCGCTTCTTTCTTTCTGGGTTTCTGCTGCGCTTTGGTATGAGAGGGGGAGGCGGAGGTCTTAGGGAGGCCCCCCTTTCACGCGGGCTTTCGGGCCCTTCCTCCTTCTCCTCCTCCCCCTCCTCCTCCTCCTCCTCCCCCTCCTCCTCCGTTCCTTCTTCTCCTCCTCCTGCTCCTCCTTTTCCTCCTCCTCCTTTTCCTCCTCAGGATGCTCTCCATCAACGGCACCCTTGTCGAGAGGCTTCTGGGGAGCGCGGGCGCGTCCCGAGAAACGCCGCCTGTGGCCAGAGGCAGAGCCCGAAGGCGAACCTCAGGATAAGGGGAGGTCGGGGAAGGAGGACGAGGGCGGAGAGGAGGAGGAGGAGGAGGCGGAGGAGGAGGAGGAGGAGGAGGAGGAGGGGGCTGAGAAGGAGGACGAGGGCTTGGAAGAGGAGGAGGAGGAGGAGGAGAAGGACGAGGAGGAGGAGTAGGGGCAAATTCATCCTCTCCACCACTCAATAGCCAACTCTCATCATTACTCTCCTTTCCCCCAAAGATGTCTTGAATGTGCAGATCCCTGCTCCGCATATGGCTCTTCTACATAAGATTAGTACGAGTTCGTTGTTCTCACGTGATGTTTCAATCAGGACGTTCTTGGTCCTTCCAGAAATGGCGCTCCCGCTGCAGCATAGGGCCTCATTTTAGGATCGGCGCTATCCTCATGTACCTCAGAATGGCGCTCTCGCCAAAGCGAGGGCCACTTTCTGGATCCGAGACGTTCTTCATCGCTGTCTCCCCGCTGCTTTCCCCTTTTCCGCCTTCCCCGGGTCCTCCTGCTCTTCCCGCTCCTCCCACTTCTGCTCCTGTTGCTGTTGCTCCTCCTCGTCCTCCTCCTTCCTCATCCTCTTCCTCCTGCTGATCCACCTCTTCTTCTCCAATGTACACAACTCCCGTTTTCCGATGACGCTCTTTTTTTGAGTTCCACGTCCGCTATGGCACGCGTCGGCGAATAGAGAAACAACATCAGCTTAATGGAAACGGATGGGTGAGAGGGACCGAGTGTCAGATATGCGCGACCGCACATAACTTGGCTCTGTCCCTCCGCCCCCCCCGCCTCCTTTGCTGCCACTACGCTCTCCATGTGTCCACCCAGTCCAGGTCTCCCTCCCCGCCTCATCGCCTCCAACCCAGCCAGGGAGGATGAGGAAGGATGAGGACGAGGAGAAAGTGAGGAGGGAGGATCACCCCCCGCTCGCCTACCCACCCATAACACGGGGCAAGGAGAGGGAAGATGACGAGAAAGAGAAAAGTGGCAAATCATGTGTGGGTGCATGTGTGTGCGTGTGTGTTGTGTGTGTGCGTGTTTGTGTGTATGTGTGAGTGTGTGTGTGTGTGTGTGTGTCTGTGTGTCTGTGTGTCTGTGTGTCTGTGTGTGTGTGTGCGTGCGTGCGTGCGTTGCGTTGCGTGTGTGTGTGTGTGTGTGTGTGTCCGTGTGTTTCGCTCGCGCGGCTCGCGCGTCATGAATGGGCGCTACTGGGCGCTCGCGCCTAGTGGCGCCCACTGGGCGCTCGCGCGCTCGCGCGCGCGAATCTGACGGTGCGGCGAGTCGCCCACCTGCGACGACCGAAAAGTGTGTGTGAGTGTGTGTGTGTGTCTGTGTGTGTGTGTGCCTGGGGCCCCACCCCCTTTTCGCCTGCATGCCTTTTATCCTGCTTTGCAAACACTCCCACAGAGGAACAAGCACCGTCATAAGCATAATTGTTCCGATGTCAGCGCGGATGTCTCGAATCGGCGCTGGGCCCCCATTGCTGGCGCGCAGAGCAGCGTGCCAGGGGCGTCGCCAGAGGCGCCGCCAGGAAGGCCTAGGCCCCGATCCAAGATATCCGCGCGGACCCCCGAGAAATGATGGATGTGCCGTTCTCTTTCCTTCGGATATTCCAGCCCCTCCCATGCGGTACTGCGTGTCTAGCAGGTGCGGAACCAGCCCTCCTCCGTCGACCATGCGAGAGTACCTCGGCGACTCAGTTGGCAGAACATGCACTCCAGAGGGCACGTGGAGACAACGCCATGGCATCTCTTTCTCGCGCAATCCCTGCCTGAATTCGACCGGGGAATCTCAGATCTCCTTCAGCAGCGCAGGAACATCACAAACAGTGCTCCAGTAAGATGCCGACACATGAAGTAGCCCCAGGCACATCCAGAAATGCCCCTCGTGGCAGGAGGGCCCCGAAAACATGTTTCCCGACCTGTTCCATTCTGGTCTTGGTGCCTATGTACCTCCCTTTATCCTCCCCCGCCTGTTCCTCATGACCCTCCTCCTGACGCTCCTGGTCCTCAACCTCACCACATCCCCCATGAGCATCCTTCTCCTTTGCTTTAGCGCCATCCCCCCTCTGCCCCTCCCTGCCCTTCTCCCTCACGTGCTGTCCTGCGTGCTCCTCCCACCCCTGCTGCGCCTCAATAAAAGGACGGGCCGCGCTGCCGACGACTTCGGCACCTTGTCAAGACCTACTGCCGCGAGCATGGACTTGACGTCGTTGCTCAAGCTCTCAACGCACTCAGCCGCCAAACGAGAAACCCTTCCGGCCAACATCATCTCTACAACCTCTGCACGACCGTATGACTTTGAACTGCATGCCTCTGCACGAGCGCTGAGTATGTGTTGGGTAGCCTGGGGACAAGGGACTCCGCCCAAACTTCGAGCTTTCGTTTGAACCACTGATGTCAGGGCACACCTTGCACTTGATCCATTCAGCGTCGAATGGGCCTCCCCGTTTTCCTTCTCCCCCTCCTCTCCCCCATCTGATAGACAAACAACACATGCATCGACCGCTGTCCTCGCTGGTCCTCGATCTGTTCCCTGCCCGCGCTCGCGCCGGTCCTGGCAATGGACCTGAACACCCCCCCGTCCTCTTGCTACACCCCCTTCCTTCTCCCGACGCGTCTCGGGTGCGTCGAAGAGGGGTGCCAGGAAGAGGGGGGGTAGCACACCACGTGCCGAGGCAAGTGCGTGGACGAGGGGGTGCGGGGGAACGCACTGAACGAAGAGGGGGCCGTGAGATCTGGGAGATATCATGGCCTTGGCCACGAAATCCCCTGGATCCCTCCTCCCTCATGCCCCCGACGCGTCCACGCCCGGCTGCCACCCAGGCGACGCACCCGTGAGGGACCAGGAAGCCGTCGGGCCGTCGACGGCGGCGCCGCTGGCCGCCGCCTCCCGCCCTGGCTCTCGGAGGCCCGACGCGCTGCGGCCCGTCCCGGCATGTCTAGAGGCCTATCACGAAATTGTCGTAGAACCCGGAAGTGTTCCCAGAACAACAAATAAGGTTCTCAGAGCACGTCAGCCCGATGTGTTGAAACAAGACAGTCCCAGCCAGACATGCTCCAAGACCCTTCCGTGGAGACCACACCGGGTTCTTAGACCACTGTTTCGTAAGCCTTCAGGCACGCCAGGACGCTTCGCCACTGCTTGATCCCCCGGAGAGCTGGGGCCGGCTGGCGGCCCCGCGGCCCGGCGATGGCCCCCAGAGGCCAGAAACGGAGGAAAGCTGCTTTGATTTGCTCTAGGGGCGTCGGAGGTCTGGGCCCTCGGGGGCCCCCTGAGGCGCTCGCAGAGATAGCGACAGGCCGCCGCTCGAAGGCATCGCTGGAGGCCGGCCTTTGATCCCGAGCCATATGCTGTCCCCAACGTGCTTGAGGACCACATCCCAGAGATAATTTCGAGCACCCAGGAAAGTATCGGAGCAGTGTCGAATGAGTATCGCCTCCCAGGGCCCGACACGTGAAGACCCTCCAGATTCGGTACGTCAATGGTGCTCGAAGTTCTTCCTGGTGACCAAGGCTAAAGTAGTCAGAACATCATAACCCGAGTCGTTGTTTGGCGTCTCCGCGGGCCCGGCGATGGCCCCCAGAGGCCGAACAACGGCGAGAGACCCGGCAGGCGTGTCTGGGCTCTCGGGGGCCCCCTGAGGCGCGCGCAGGGACAGCGAGAGGCCGCGCTCCTCGGCCTCGCTGGACTGGACCGTGGGCGGGAGCTGGCACTGGTCGCCCACCAGGACCAGCCGCTGCGTGCCCTGCGCGCGCGCGCCGCTGGGTGCCCTCGCCCCTCCTGCCCGCCCCATCCCCGCCCCCTCCCCCCTCTTCCCCTGCCCTCCCACCCCCCTCCAGCCCTCGCCTCCCCCCAAATCCCAGCCTCTCCCGTCTTTCGCCTCCTCGCCCTCTCCTCTCCCTCCTCACCAACCCTCATCCCGCCCCCCTCTCCCCGTCCCTCCCCGCTCCTCCGCTCCCGACAGTGCGCGTCGCTTCCAGCCTCGGTGCTTTCCTCCCCTCCCCTCTCCTCCCGTTCCTCCTCCCTCTCCTCGCCCTTTCTTCCTCCTCCTCCTCCTCCTCTTCCTCCTCCTCCTCCTCCTCCTCCTCATCCTCCTCCTCCTCCTCTGGTTGGCTTTCGAACCTTACCTGGGACCACAAGCGACGGTCGAAGAGGCGCAACTGATGGAGAGAACCCCAGAGCCCTACCGCCAGCGCGAACCGCCGGTACCCTTCCCTCCTCTCCACCCTCGCGGCCTCCCCCCCTCTCCCGCGCCCCGCCCCCCCCCCCCCTTTCTCCCCCGCAACTTTAGTCTGACTTCGGAGGCGACGAGGAAGGGCGAATCGCCCGAGGACGGGCAATATGCACGTGTACACTCGGCGGAAAGCCTCCTCGACGACACGGACCATCGTCGCCCCGGGATCTGCGCATTGCTCCCCGCTGGGGCCACTCGCCACGATCGTCGCCTTCGAGAACCGGGGCAGGCAGGGGGCTGCTTTCTGTGCCCAGCGCGCTGCCCGGAGGATGAGCGGGACCACCGCCGCAAGCTCGGTCGCCTGCGCTGCCTCGTCCACGAGGATACCGGCGAACGCGAACTTGGAGAAGAAGTCTCCACCTGGCAGGGCTTCGGGTGGCGCGCAGACTCACGAGGTGGCGGACGTATTTCGGCTACACGCAAGAGTGACCCTGGGTAAGAGTGACCTTTGGTGCGCGACTTTTGGGTGGCCGCGGGGGGGCCAAACCAAGGCGCGCAAGACGCTACTATCGCATCGTGTCCGGTGATCGGGAGACCCCATTGAGCCCGGACCAAAGGTCACTCCGGCGAAAAGGTCACTCTTACGTGTAGTCGAGTATTCATATTCACGCTCTCGCGTTCTGGATCCCGGGGCGCAGTCCCATGCACACGTGGCCGTATGTCTACGTCCTGCGCGGGGCAGTGGCAGCGAAAACTTCTCAATCTACAGGGCCGCGGCCCAGCGGCCCAGCCCGAGAGGCTGTGGTACAAGCTCTTTCCGTCTTCCGAAGTCAGAAAAATCCACCCCCATAAGAACCACCCCGACACGCGAAGTCGTTTAGCAAACGCGCCCGAAGAAGGAATCGAACGGGGCAGGGCTGTTTGGTAAATGCCCAGGGCCGTTTAGTAAGCGTCAATTGTCTGGTCCAGGCGGTGTTTGCTCCCTTGACCCATGCCCGCCCGAAGAGATCGTGGTCGTGCAGAGGACGTCGGCGTCCTGAAGAATCCGCATCTGCAGCTCGAAGTCGTGCTTCGACATCTTGCCCTTGCCCTTGCCCCTGCCCTTGCCCTTGGGCCTCGGCGCCTCCCCGTCACCGTCGCCTGGGTGGGCGCAGAAGGACGTCATCTGCCCACAGAGCTTGTCAGATTCGAAGTGACTCAGAAATCACCTCCCACATGATCTACACATATATGTATATAATAAACACATTACTCATATGTATACACATATATGTATATATATATATATACATATATGTACATGTGAATGTGAAGGGGGAGTTGCTGTGCCATGCAGTGTGTGTGTGTGTGTCATAGTTCCATGCATGTGTACATCTTTATGTGTATTTCGTATATAGATACACGCCTCGTTCACCATGGTCTTGCCCAAGCACCTCCATTTCATTACATATATCCTACTCTTGCGCGTGATTGAGCTTCGTTGCTGTCGGTTTTAGGGCGCAGCCCTCCTTTTCATCCTCTTCCTCGCCCTCCACCATCCGATCACCGTCCCTCGTCTCTGCAAGTCTGTTTTATCATGTCTCCTCCTTCCTCGCCACACTATCGTTCTAGTCATTCGCCCTCCAACCTTCACGTGCCTCTCATCCTCCTGCTCTCCCTCCTCCTCCTCCTCCTCATCCTCCTCGTCATTCCTCCTCCACATCCCTCCATATTTCTCCTCCTCCCCCTTTCCTACATTCCGTTTCCTTATGCATGACCCCCCCCCCATGCCGCACCCCGAGGCCAGTCGGAATGGCGGGCCGGGCGTTTCGCCTGAGACTTCCTTGCCATTCATGAGCCTCAACCTTCAAATCGGACAACAACTTCACACATGGAGGGCTGTATTGTATGTACATGTACATACAAGCATGTGTTTACACAAGTCTCCTGATGACCCTCAATCGGTTATGCACAAGTACCTTGTATTTACGCGTGCAGAGATCTTCTGCAAACGGTTGCTGTAAAGTTTTATCTGTACCCAGATTTCCGCCCTCGAGCACCTACCCAATCGTCGCCTTTTGGCGACTTGGACCTCGACCTCGAGATCGCCCTGTCTCTCTTCTTCTTGTCCTTGTCCCTCGTCACGCTCGGGCTGCCCCTCCCGCGCTTCGGGCTGCCCGACTTGGACTTCGAGGCGGACCGGTACCGAGCCTGACCAACAGCTGTGGAACGACGCGAAACAGGAGGGTGATGTGCTAACAAGATGCGGAACAGAAGGCTGAGACAGCCAGAACAAAAAGACGAGACACACTACGCGCTAATCGTGGCGTAAGGGAGCGAAGTGAAGCACACTGGTAGTATACCCATCGACCAGACATGGTGTGAAGTTCGACGAGATGAATCAACTCAGATCGGAAACACACCAAAGTGGAGTCGAATGAAGATGGGGAGGTCGTCAAGATGACCGCGACGAAGAGAAAAAGAAGGCGCCACGACACGGAAAGAGAGTCAGTGAAGCGAGCCGAACTTTATTGAAGTGAGGCGGAGGACGATACACAGTAGGAGCGCAGATCGGAGAGCACCGGCGAGATCTGAAAGCGAGGAGGCAACGAGAAACAGGCCAGGGAGGATGCACAGAATGCAAACTAGCGGTCTAGACGGGGCCTGATACTTCCGCGTGTCCAATTCCTCCTTCTCTTTCTCCAGCAGGCATTCCAGCGTGATCTCCTCTAACACGCGGTTAATCTTGTCCGGGCGCCCCACGCGGACCGCCTTGACGCCCTCTGCTCTCAGACCCATCGCGATGTTGTCCACCGCCACGTTGCTGTCCTGGAGGGAGGGGCAACTGCACATGCATGCGCTTTCGTTCCTCCGTCGCTGGCTTGGCTCCCCGCAGCCAGCGACAGCATGCTTCCGTCTCATGTTGCGTGTTCTTTTGGCATGTGTTCCTTGGTTACGGGGCTGCTATTCGCTCTGGTGATTGTTTCCCTTACCTCGCTCTCTCTCTCTCTCGCTCTCTCTCTCTCTCTCTCCCTCGGGGGCGTCCAAGAGTGGTGCGTCCAAGAACGGGGGGCATGAAACCTGAGGAAATACCATGGCCCCAGCGATGATATCCTGCCCTCCTAGTCATCACACCCCTCTTGGCCGCTCCTCCCGACTTTTTCTCTCTCTCTCTCTCTCTCGGCGTCCGAGGTGGCGAGTAGCGGAGACAAGTCCAACGTCTTCGACCACATCTTCATGATCTGCACGGAAACGTGCGTCTTGCCGGTGCCCGGGGGACCCTGGCGGCGGGTCGTCGCCGCCGCCGCGGCCGACGACCACGACCACGACGACGACGACGACGACCACGACGATGACGACGACGACGACGACGACGACGACGACGACGACGACGACGACTACGACGATGACGACGACGGGGACGACGACGACGACGACGATGACGATGACGACGACGGCAAGGGCGGCGGCGGCGGCCGTGACGGCGGCGGCGTCAATGACCAAACCCCCGCCTCGCCACACTGTCCCACCGATCGTCCACTGCCTCCTCCGCCCTGTCCTCCACGGGCGGCTCTGCCCCCTCCGCGTGCGCCCGATCCGATCGGTGTACAGTCAGAAACCCTAATAAGGACGCGCGGCAAGGACGCAAGACCCTTGGAAGCCGAAGTTGGGATTTATGGGGCGGCTGACGACGAAAACCTCAAGGACGCAAGAGCAAGGAAGAGCAAGGACGCAAGGATTTTCTGAGCAAAGTCGCGCGTCCTTGTTAGGGTTTCTGACTGTACCTCCACCCACCTCTGGAGGGGCGTGTCCTGAATGACGGTGCAGGTCTGGCGGAGAGCAGACTTCACGGCGTCGCGCTGGGACTGGTTCAGGTGCGTCAGCTGCTTGACCTCCTGGCGTGGGCCGCAGCTCGGCGGCGCGCAACGAGAATGCTGAAGCTCTCGGGGGGGGGTGCGGAGAGCCCGCTTCGAAACCCTCCCCGACGCCACCGGTCCCGTCTAACCACCCGCTCCGAAGATCTCCGAGGGAGCGCAGAGATACCCTGCGACGTACCCAGCCCGTCTGCACTGAGTGGCAATAGGAACGCAGGATCTGCCATTGGTTTTGCAAGCTGTATGGCTGTATGGGAAGCGCGTGCGTCGCGCGACTCGCCAGTCCTCAGGCTTGGAGAGGCAGCGGGGGTGGTAACGAGGGGCGGGAAAAGGACAGCAGAGCGGCCGAACATCCAATGCGACACCAGCAGTGTGGCGGCGAAGCAGGACGAAGAAAGAAGCAGGATGAGGAAAGAGGGGGGCGCGTAGTTTCCAGTGGCACGCTGGGCAAGCAGCGCGGCCCGCACTACGTCGCCCTGGCGCTCCGACGGATCCGCTGTCCATAGCTAGTGCCAGAGCGCTGCACGGGAGCTACACGCCCGCAAGCGCGCCGCCAGGTCCGCAGGACCCGCGGGACGTCACTCCGATGAACCCCTCAGCAGCCTTCGACAGTGGCGACAGCTTCGCAGATCGCAGACCCCCTGGGACGGCGAGGTCTAATTCAAGTCAGCGTGGGGCGTCACTCCGGTGGACTCCCCCAGCACCACTCGAAAGTGGCGACAGCTTCGCAGATCGCAGACCCCAGGAATGGCGAGGTCTAGGTCCGCGTGGGGCGTCACTCCCCTGGACCCCCCAGCAGCCCTCGAAAGTGGCGACAGCTTCGTAGATCGCAACTCCCCAGGGATGGCGGATTCTGATTTAGGTCCGCGTGGGGCGTAACTCCGCTTGACCCCCCAGCAGCCCTCGAAAGTGGCGACAGCTTCGCACATCGCAGCCCCTCAGGGACGACGAGGTCCAAATTAGTTTCGCACGGGGGGGGCGACCCCGCTGGACCACCCGTCAGCCCTCGAAAGTGGCGACGGCTTTGCAAATCGCAGCCCCCCAGGTATGGTGAGGTCTACTTCAGGTCCGCGTGGGGCGTCACTCCGCTGGACCCCCCAACAGCCATCGAAAGTGGCGACAACTTCGCAGATCGCAGACCCCCAAAGGGTGTCGAAGTCTAGGTCCGCGTGGGGCGTCGCTCCGCACGACCTCCCAGCAGCCTTCGACAGTGGCGGCAGCTTCGCAGATCGCAGCCCCTCAGGGACAGCGAGGTCAAATTTAGGTCCGCGTGGGGCGTCGCTCCGCTGGAGCCCACAACAGCCCTCGGAAGTGGCGACAGCTTCGTAGATCGCAACCTCCCAAGGATGGCGAGGTCCAAATTAGTTCCGCTCCGGGGGGTGACTCCGCTGGACCACCCATCAGGCCTCGAAAGTGGCGTCACTTTCGTGGATCGCAACCCTCCAGGTATGGCGAGGTGAACTTCAGGTCCGCATGGGGCGTCGCTTCGCTGGACCTCCCAGAAGCCTTCGAAAGTGGCGACTGCTTCGCAAATCGCAGCCCCCGAAAGACAAGGTCTCGTGGGACGACGAGGTAGAAGGCAGGCAGGCAGGCAGGCGAAATCCTGGTAGGATGAAGGAGAGAAGGGGGGAGAAGAGGAGGAAGTGAGGAGAACAGAGGCGGGAGGAGGACGGTCGCGACCGCAGGGCTTTGTTCAAGACGAGAGGCCAACACAAGTGGGCTGGGAAATGCCGGCACCGCCGAGCGTGACGCCTCTCCTGGGATGCGTTCTGAGTAGGACTTCGATGCGGATCCAGGCGTGGCGGCGAAGGAGGGGCAGCGGTATCGGCACATTTTCCTCCTCTGGAGCGGGAAGCCCTCCTCGAAGTCACCCATCCCCACCGCTGCCTTCTCGCAGAGCCGCCCACCCAGGACCTCCTAAGGGGGGCGAGGAACAACCGAGCAGGCACGTCATGGGCGAAGGAGCAGTGGCAAGCGTCGCATGACGCTCGCCCGTCTGTACCGTGCCCTGCTTCGCGCAGGATTGCATGACCTGACCGCTCTCTGCCCTGGCGCCGCGGCCCGAAGGATCATGAATCGTCCGTGCCCGCAGAGGCAATTTTTGGCACAATGGACATCTGTTCCCACCGCAAGAATCACCCTGCGACGGGCCCAGCCCATCTGCACAGAGTGACGAGAGGAGCTGGTTCAGACTTTTCTTTTTCTTTTTTAGGGGAGCTGGTTCAGCATAGTTTGGCAGAGGGCAGCACTGGATCCGTCATTGGCTGTGCAAGCTACATGGGAAGCGCGCGCTGCGCGATACACAGGACAGCAGAAGAGGACGAGGACCGAGGCCCCATTCTTGGAGAGGAAGCGGGGGCGGCAACGAAGGGCAAGGGAAGGACGGACTGAGCGGCCGTCATTTTAGTGTGACAGCAGCAGTGAAGCGGCGAAGTAAGAAGAGGACGACAACAAAAGAAACATGATGAGGAAAGAGGGCGGCGGTCATTTTCCAGCGCCACGCTGACAAGCAGCGCGGCCCGCGCCGTGTCGCTCTGGCGCCCGAGATGATACAGAAAACGCCCCCGTGGAACACTCCCGAAGGGGGGGGGTCCTCCCTTAGCTACGCCCCCCCCCTGGACCTCCCCTGCTCGGAGCCCTCCCTCTCTCTCACTTTGTTCCGCCCTTCGGAAGCTACCCCACACCCCTTTCTCGCGCTCCAGAAGCTAACTCCCACCTCCCTTCTTTGCACAAGGGGGGGGCGGTTTGGCTACCCCTTCTTAAACCAAGTTTTGGCTCGAGCTACTGCATAGGCAGGTTTCCCCCAACCTCCCCTATAGGAGCCATGTCCATGGATGGCGCCGCTTTGCTGGCGGCAGCCGTTCCGTGCAGTAGTCCAAGCGACTGCGCCCCGTCGAACGGTGCAGGCGGTTGCAGCGGCGGTGACTTGCATCCTGGTGCGCCCCGCTGCTGCTGCCGTTTGGACGCCCGAGATGGGCACGGAAAGAATGGGTACAATGCCCAACCGCAAACGTTGTCACAAGCCAACAGCGGCCACTGTTGGGCAGGCGGCTTTCTGCCTCGAATGGACACAGGCCGCGGCGACACCGACAGCGAGTCCTGTTCAAAATAAACAGGGACTGCTGTTGGGCATTGTATTGAGCAGGGACCGACCGTCCCGGCATTCTTATAGTCCTACCACGAAATGTTCTTAGAACCAAAAAATGTTCTAAGAACAGAACCCATATTCTTAGAACATAAACCCGATGGGTTAAAACAAGACGCTCTCCGCCAGACATGTTCTGAGAACATGTCGTGGAAACCACAAAAGGTTCTTAGAACATTGTTTGGTAGGGCTATAGGGGAGCCAAGACGCTTCGCCACTGCTTGATTGTACCCATTCTTTCCGTACCCACTTCGTTCGTGCAGATGCCGGGCCTCACTCTGAAGACCAGCGGCGCGCTCCGGACGAACGGAACCCACGCGCCTGCACCGACGACCCCGGCTAGTGGTTGGAGGCGCTGCGTGCTGCAAGGCGTGCTCGACGTCGGCAGAAAAAAGGCACGGCGCGTGGCGGTTGCCCAGCGAGCAGCTGCTGACGCCACGACGCCGGCCGCCGAATCGGACATGGGCGCATCTGATGGAGGTGCGGCCGGCCAGTGCACTGGGCCCCGGGGAAGCCCAGCCCAGGCACCACCAGGACCCGCCAGCGATCCACCTGCGCATGCTCCACTGCAGCTCCATGGCTTTGGAGATGGCAGCGCTACTGGTTCAGAGATCTCGGGTCACACTCTCGGCCCTGGTGATCTGGCCTCCGAGGTCTCTGGCACTCTCCGTGCGGCTTCGCGGACGACATCGGCAGGGATGGCACGTCACAAGCCGTATCTCAACACAGCCCCTGGCAAGGGTGGGAAGTCTGGCGGAAAGGGGAAGTTTTAGCTCGCCGCTTCCACGTTCACACTACACCGCATGAGTCTCTGCATCTTGGCTTGGTGGAGCTGTTGCCGACGACATCTTTGCTCTTCTGTTTATCCAGTATCAACTTCGATGAGAACATCGCGACACCTCTTGCGAATTCTTGGCCATCTTATGATACTTCTCGTACTTCTACATATATATATATATATCCCAGACGTTTGCCGTCCTGGACTCCGACGCGGAACTTTACAGTGGCAAGCTCGTCCAACGCTCCTGGCATCGACCTGGCGCTACAGGCTCATCTGGGCAGCCTGGAGGTGGTGTTGTGAAGGGAGCTCTGACCAAGCGCTACAACACCACATTTCTGCCTCCCTGTCTGCCTCCTTGACTTTCCCTTTCAGTCCTCCTCAAAAACCCTGTGAGGCTCCTTGAGAGCCCTGTCCAACTTATCCGAATCGCAGCCGCCTGGGTTGAGCCTCGCCACCTTCGCCGCTTCCTTCTCCTGCGGCTGGGCGCGTCATACTTGCCTGCATCCACCCTATCGTCGTCGTCCTCCTCCTCCTTTTCCTCCTGCTCCTCCAGCTGCCCTTGGAAAGGGCGCTCACAATGCAGATACGTCCGTTTTGCTGATATTGGCGGCGCCCAGAGGGGGGGTAAGGGGAGGGGGGAAGGCTTCTTAGAAGGAGGCTGCTTCTTAGAAGGCGCGGGCCTTACATCCACAGACAAGGACCGCGCCTTCTAAGAAGTAGGGGTGCTTCTGAAGAGCCTCCCCCCAACTCCCCCTTTGCCCCCCTCTGCGCGTGGCCGATGAGAAACAGGAGCGGTCACAGAGTACAGCATGGGCCCGACCACAAGAAACCGTCCACGAGAAACCCAACCCTGAGACCCCAGGACGTCCACTGGTTTTTGGTGTGGGAACGTCGCGCTTTCCATCGCAAAACCATCGAAACCTACGAAACCCAAGGCACCCTGGAGGCAAGCAGGGTGTTTCTTGGCATGGGGCCCCATTGTAGGGAGGCAAAAAGGCCAGGATTAGGTCGGGCATGTACCCCTACAGGCGGATTTTGGACGACAAATGAAACCTACTCAAACAATGGTCCAACAATAAGCAAATAATTAAACCAAAAAAGTCATCCGACTATTTGTTCTGCTATTTTTGAATATCCCTCCAGTAGAGGGACAGGCCCGACGTAACTGTAGGGAGGCAACCAGGCACGGATTCAGAAAACCGCTCCCCGTGGCGCCACCCCGTCGTGCGCGCCGCCAGCCCGCCGTCGAGAACCCGGTGCCCCACCTCGTCGAGAAGGGGGCACTGGGAGTGCGGGGCGACAAGGTTTAAGTCGGGCCTGTCCCTCTGCAGGCGAATTTGTGTAAATAATATGGGGAGGATTTGTTTGACAAGTGTTCATCATTTTTGATATAGTTGTTTGACTATGCTGACCTTTTCACCCACAATCTGCCTGTAGGGGGGGCATGCCCGACCTAGGCCAAGGTCGGCGGCCAGCGAGGGGGGGGGGGGAAAGTGAGGAGGAGGCCTTCCCAGAACACGGGAACGAACAATGACAGAAACATAATAACTCGGAGGTCCGCGCGAAATTTTCGGGTCCGCGCTCCGCGCGCCATGGACGCGGGTCCAGCGCCGATCCGAGAAATCCGCGCGGACCTCCGAGTTTTGATGTTTATGTCATTGTTTGTTCCCCTACAGCAGGCGGCGGGGCTTCTCAGAAGCCCCCCCGCTGTCTGGGAAGTTTCTACGTCTTCCGGGGAGGCTTAGGGAACTCCTCCGAAGGCCGGGGGGACCTCCCCGAGCCTCCGGAGAAGGCCCGCCCCTCTCTCCCTTCCCCCGCCGAGGCGCGCCGCCGAAAAGGGATCCCTCTGGCCTTGGAGTGCACGAGGCTCTGTCTCTGCCACGCCGCACCTCTGGCCGAGCCACCCCGAGAGGCGCGGGGCCCCCCCGGTGCCACAGCGGCCTGCCGGCACCAGCGGCCTGCCTGCGAGCACCCCGTGAGCCGCACCCGCGAGCCCCCACAGAGGCCTGCGAGCGCTCTGCCTGCGACCTCCGGACCCCCTCCTCCGCTGACTCGGGGGCGCACAAGCATGGATTTCCGATCAATGGATTTGGCGCGCAGTCCCCAAAACCCATGGATCGGAGGAGGTGCCCTCCGCCTCGCTCGGCGGCGGAACTCCGCGACTTCCCCTGGAAACAGAGACCGTCGCTAATCAATCCACGCCCCCTTGATCCATGTTTGCGATCGCCTGACATCCTGATCCCTCCGCCTCCTCCTCCGCCTGCCCGTCCCCCTCCTCCTCCTCCTCCTCCTCCTCCTCCTCCTCCTCCTCCTCCTCCTTCTGACGTGGGCCCGACCCCCCGAGACTCGGCCACCGCCTCCGACGCCCCCCCGCCGCGCGCCGCCTCCGCAAACATGGTGGGCGAGAGAGAACTGCAGGGCAAGGCGAGCCGGTACGGGCTGGACCCGCAGGGCGATCGCGGGAGGCACCACCCTCGGCACGGCAGGGTCGTGACAACTTCGGCAGGGCTCGAGGAGGAGGAGGAGGAGGAGGACGAGGAGGAGGAGGAGGAGGAGGAGGAGGAGAAGGAGGACGAGGGGATTCCCTGTGGATCGTTCAGCCCTGAGCGATCGCGGCTTTCCGACGGTGCGGGCTGTTCGACACCGGCCGATTCTGAATGACTGGCCGAAAAGGGACGATTAGGGGGGACTGGCGAATGGGGGCGACATGTAGCTGTGCACAGCGATGCATCGCCGATAGATCGGCGAGGCGCTCCCCGTGGCGAAACCAGACGTGCCTGGATGGGCTGGGGAGCCCAGACCCTGGTTCACGATGAATGGGCGATCGGAGGAGGTGGACCATCACCTGGCTAAGGGGAGGCTAGGGGTTGGCCGACCCGACCCTAACCCGATCGGAGGAGGTGGAGGTGGAGGAGGAGGAGGAGGAGGAGGAGGAGGAGGAAGGAGGAGGAGGATGAGGAGAGGGAGGAGGAGTAGGAGTAGGAGTAGGAGGAGGAACTCCTCCTCCTCCTCCTCCTCCTCCTCCTCTCTTTCGCCTCCTCCTCCTCCTCCCCCTCCTCCCCCTCCTCCTCCTCCTCCGCCTCCTCCTCCTCTTCCTCTTATTCCTCCTCTCCTCTTATTCCTCCTCTTCTTCCTCCTGTTCTTCCCCTCCTCCTCCTCCTCCTCCTCCTCCTCCTCCTCCTCCTCCTCCTCCTCCTGCTTCCCCCCCCCCCCGAGCCAATCCCCCTGTCGTCGCCCCCGCCCGGCGGCGTGCACCCTCCTGGGACGCCCGCGCTGGGATCCGCGCCTCAGCGACACGACGCGGAAACCTACCGCACCTGCCTCGACTCTGTCGGGAGCGGCCAAGATCGGGGAGACGTAAGACCCGGGTACGGGGGACTCGGAAATCCCCGACGAGGTCGTCAAAAAAATGACGAGGCCGAGCCTGCATTTTGACGAGGCCTCCCGCTGCAGACATCCCACGAAACTCCTCCTCGTCAAAATCCGAGGCGCGGTCGTCAAAAAACGATGGCGAACCCGAGTCCTGGCAAACCCGGGTCTTACGCTCCCCCGACAAGAGGGGGGTGTCCAAGAGGGGGGGGTGCAAATCATGACCGGCGGCATGTGCGCGGCCCAGCGGGTGGGCCAGGGACGTAATGAGATAAGAAGAGGCGCCATGAAATCTGGGGAAATATCATGGCCCCCGCCATGATATCCACCCCCCCTAGTCATCACCCCTCTCTTTTCCGCCCCCGACTCTCGAGAGCGCGCTCGCCCAGCACGGGTGCAGAGCGCAAGCCGGGGCCCCCATCGGGCTACACGCAAGACCCACACCCAGACCTCGGGCGTCTCGAAAAAGTCGAGACGAAGGTTTTTCTCAGTTTTTGGCCTCTCGGGGCCGCCGCCAGGCCTCGGGCCAGTCACAAAACGACTCGGGATGAAAAACTGGTCCTGGGGAAGTGGTCGGGAGGTCGGGGGCCCGCGTCTCGAAAACATTGAGACGTTGGATGTCTGGGGAGGGACGCTGGGTAAGAGTGACCTTTGGGTGCGCGGCTTTTGGGGGGGCGCGGGGAGGCCAGGCACAAGCTCGCAAAACGCTGCCATCGCATCGCGTTCGGCGATCGGGGGCCCCGATGGGCCCGCACCGGAGGTCACTCCGGCCAAGGGTCACTCTCACGTCTCGTCGACCCAAGCTTCACGAGCCGACCCGTCTGAGTTCCTTCCCCGCGGGGCCAGGGAGGAAAGGCGGATGGAGGAGTCCGCTGCCCCCCGGGAGGGCCACCACAATCGCACGATCTGTGCACGGACAGACGTGCGGGCAATGCGTGTACCCATATCCAGTGCGCCTTGGACTTTCTTGGAAGGGGCACCGCAAGGCCGAGGCGCACCGGATGCGGACAAACGTCGAGCCTCCGTTCGGGGAGACGTAAGACCTGGGTACGGGGGACTCGGAAATCCCCGACGAGGCCGTCAAAAAAATGACGAGGCCGAGCCTGCATTTTGACGAGGCTTCCCGCTGCAGACATCCCACAAAACTCCTCCTCGTCAAAATCCGAATCGCGGTCGTCAAAAAACGATGGCGAACCCGAGTCCTGGCAAACCGGGGCCTTACGCTCCCCCGATCCGTGGGGGGGCCAGACTCTTGTCCATGTCAGGGTCCGGCTCGGGGCTCTGGGGCACGGGGGCCCGCAACTCCGAGCTGCAGCGGAGATGGGCACAAGTCTTGCCCGCAGAACGAGCACAGCGAGGACCGCGCACTCACAGCCGACCAGTCTCGCTGCCCGCGCGGCGCGCCCGCGGGATGCCCCGGCGTGCACTCGCCGCGCTCTGCCGTGGCTCTTGTTGCCTCGGATGGGCCCGGGCCGTGGGCCTCCCCTGCCGCGCTCGGCGTTCTGGCTCACCTCTCGGCCGGGCGTCGGCCCGCTGGGCGGGGCGAGGTCCTCCTGCTCCTCCTCCTCCTCCTCCTCCTCCTCCTCCTCCTCCTCCTCCTCCTCCTCCTCCTCCCCCTCCTCCTCCTCCTCCCCCTCCTCCTCCCCCCCGAAGCGGCCTAGACAGACCACCCCTTCTTTGCTGCCGGAGCGGGCCTGGCACTCCCTGCCTCAGCCAGCCGAGAATTGATGATAGGAGCGGGCGGGCACACTACATTAGGAGGTAACTACTGGGAGGTTTTCGTCGAAAGGATTTAGGAGGATTAAGCCCCAGTGGGGGGCCGTCACGCCAGAGTGGTACTCGGATCACGCGGGGTTAAGACGGATTAAGCGGGATCAAACGGGATTAAACCGGATTAAGCGGGATGAGGCGGGATTAAGCCGGATTAAGCGGGATTTCGGACCAGGGCTAAATCAGAATTTGCCCTCCCAGGAGTTGCATCCGAACAAGAGGGAGCGGCGCACCTCGCCAAGGGAGGGCTTCGCGTCATCAGGGTGCCTGCCTCGGTGACGCCTTCTTCTGTTGGAACAGTAGCCTTTCTCTGAAAATGGACGCGCGTGAGAGCAGGTTCCCGACCACGTCCCGGAATCCCGAACCCCACTCCCCAGGAGCGGAGGAGAGGCGCCCTGAGTCGTGCATGGCCCAGAGAACTGTTCAAGCGCACTTCAGCCACTCGTGATCAGAGCGGATTGCAGTGGGCTGACATTCTAGAGGCTAGAGGTCAAACCTGCATTTTGGAAGGGTGTTGCTCGAGAATAGCCGCTCGCAGCAGCAGTCCATCTTTGCTCGTCGGCGCAGCGAGCGGCGATGCTCGGTCGTGGGTTTGGCAGGGGCCGTGCCGCACGTAGGGGGGGGGGTGCATCATGGCCCTATAACGCGTGCGCGCACGAGAGGGGGGGGGGCTGGGGGGCATACAATCAGATCTAGGCCAGAAGAGCATTCTACACGAACACGAGACCCTCCGCCGGCCAAAACAAACAGAGCATCCAAGGGTACCCTTCCCCGGATGCACAAGCACATCCAACAGACACGCAGAACATGAGGGTACCCGCCCCGACCTCGATCTTATACCTTGGTCCGACTGCACTGAAAAGGAGAAGATGGGGCCGTGGAATCAGGGTGATGCCACTGCCCTGGCCATCCCCCCCCACCCCTCGTCGACGCCGAACCCAGGCTGGCACTTCTGAGATCCTCCCCAAAATCCTCCCCTCCCCCCCTTCGACACCGAACCCAAGCTGACCCCTCTGAGATACCTCCCCAAAGTCCTCCCCCCCCCTTCGACGCCGAGCCCAAGCTTACCCCTCCGAGATGCCGCCCCAAAGTCCTCAGCCCCCCTCGAACCCAAGCAATGTCAAGTGGGGTCGCCACTCGGGGAGTCGCCACCTCTTCGGGGAGGAGGGGAGCATCAGGACCCCCAAGTTCCCGTATCTTCCAGAGCGCCCAAGATCGCCCCAACACCTGCTCGGCCCTTGATCCTCAAGCCTCGATCCTCAAGCGGGGCCCAGTGGTGACCCCTCTTTACGCCACGAAGCGATGTGCACAGACACCCTCCGACGAATTCTGCACGTACCTTCAGGGAAGGTGGCGAGTAGAAAGTCGCTGGTTCTCCGCGGTGATCTGAACACCGCCACCCTCCCCTGATGCCCAGGAGCAATCCATTGGAGGGCGTCTGTGTCAGTATTTGCGTGGCGGGCTCTCGGCCCTTCCTGACAAACTTTGCTCCCGAGCGTCCCAATCTGCACGGCGGGAACTGGCTGTCAGACCAGCCCTGGCCCAGAAAGGGAATAAGACAGAACTCTCAGGGGTCCGGCCGTCCCCTGCAGGCGGCGGAGGAGACGAGGAGAACGGGGGGGGCGCGGAGGGTGAGGGACAGGAGGCGTGAGGAACGCACGCACGCGGCCAGCCCCTCAGCCACGCACGCGCGGGACTCTTGACAACCAACCCCCCTAGACCTCCTGCTGTCGAGAAGTGCTCATGACTTCTTGACAACCAACCCGCCTAGACCTCCGACGTCGAGAGGTTCTCATGACGTGGACCACCCAAGCGCTGAATCCCTCCCCCTGGACCAGCTTTTCACCACGAACCATGTCTTGACAGGCCCAGGGGCCGGCGAGGGCCCAAGACGAGCCGAGACTGGCACACAACTTTGGACGCCCGAAATGAGTACGGAAAACATGGGCACAACGCCCAAGAACAAACGTTGTCCAAACACAACAGCGGCCGATGTTGGGCAGGCGGCCGTCTGTCTCAAATGTACACAGGCCGCGGCGACACCGACAGCGAGTCCTGTTCAAAATGAACAGGAACCGTTGTTGGGCATTGACCCCCGTTTCAAAGCTCCCGAGTACCCACAATGTCGTTCGTGCCGGACAACCGTCCGTCGTCTCTTTCCACAGCTCAAAGAGCTCTGGGAGCCCCCCCCCTCCGCCCTGATGAGGACGGGGCGGAGGCTCCGCCTCGACCTGGAGGCGAGAACGAGGAGGACGGGGCCTCCTCCACCCCATATTCAGGGGGAGGAGGAGGATGAAGAAAAAGGAGGGGGAGGAGGAGGAGGAGGAGGAGGAGGAGGAGGAGGAGGAGGAGGAGGAGGAGGAGGACGACGACGACAAGGAGGCCACGTCTCCAGGACGGGGGGGAGCAGCCCCCCCCCCCGCCCTGAGGGCGAGGGCCGCGGCGGAGGCGGCCGCCCCCGGGATCCTTGGTGTCCTTCATCTCCTTCTCGGCCGCCAGCTCGGCTGCGCGCTTGTCCTCCTGGGCGGGCTCGGCGGGGCAGGGAGGGCGGGGCCCGAGCGCACCGGGGCAGGGCCGCCCCCCTGGAGGAGGGCGCGGGCCAGCCGAGGCCGCGGCGGCCCCGAGCCTGGCGCTGTTGGGATCCCTGGCGGGCCTCGACGCCACGGCCGGGCCCGCCTCGGGAAGCGGGACGCGATGGCCCCGGGGAGGGATCCGGGGGCCGATCTGGGCGCGAAGCGACGGGGGGCGGTCCATGAAAGCCCGCCCATATACGTAGAGGCCTCCTTGGGGGCCCGGAGGGCCCCTTTCAGGTCCCTCCAGGGCTCCTTCTCGGCGGCCCTCGCTGCCCCCCCAGCCTCCCCCCTTGCGCGCCCGCCACCGGTGTGGAACAGATTTTTGGGCCGGGCGCGAGGGCCCCCCAGTGTCTGCGCTGACCCTCCTCCGAGAGAAGGGCGAGGGGGGCGCTCGGCTCACCGCCGGGAGATCCCCTGGCGTCTTTCAGGGAGCGGCGCCGCTGCGCCCCTGGAGCCTCCAGATCGGGCACTGCCAGGGCCCAGGCATCGGGCGTCTCGAAAAAATCGAGACGGAGGTGTTTCGCAGTTTTCGGCCTCTCGCTTTCGCAGTTTTCCTCTCGCGGCCATCGCCGGGCCTCGGGACCGTCCAAGAACGACTCGGGATGAAAAACCGGTCCCGTGGAAGTGGTCGGGAGGTCGGGGGCCCGCGTCTCGAAAACATCGAGACGTTGGATGTCTGGGGAGCTCGCCGTGGTGTGCTGAGCGCTGCTTCGTGCTCAGCCACCGGGGGGGGGGGGAGCAGGCGACCCACAGGGGATGCGAGGACGCGTGCACCCTGCGCGGTCCTTTTTGGCCCCTGGGGGCTGGCGGCCCCCCTTTCAGGGCACTCAAGGGGCTCGCAGAGGGGGTTCATTAGGGGGAGGGGGGGAGGCTTCTGGGAAGGGGGCTGCTTCTCAGAGGGCGCGGGCCTGACATCTGCAGACAATGGTCCGCGCCTTCTAAGAAGCAGAGGTGCTTCTGAGAAGCCTTCCCCCCCCTCCCCATGCCCCCCTCTGCGCGTGGCAGCACCAAAGGTGCACAAGAGGCGCACCTTTTCCGCCCCCCCGTTGTCGCCCCCCCCCCCCCCAATGCACAACGCCCGATAGTGTGCCGGGCTCTCGCTTCCGGGCTCCGCCTGGGAGCTCCGCTCCAGACAGAGACCCAGACATGCGACGTCCAGATTTTTGCAGGACGGCGTCCCCAGAAGTCCAGACCCTTTCCCCGGGGTCGGTTTTTCATCCTGTGTCGTTTGTTGTGACGGTCCGGAGGCCCGGCGGGGGCCCCCCGAGGCCGAAAACGGCAAAAAACTTTCCGTCCTGATTTCTTTTACGACGCGATCATGTCTGTAGGGGGCCACATCTACCCCTACCCCCCACGATTTCTGAGGGGGAGGGTGGGGTTCACTTCAAGTTCGGGAGCTCCCGAGCGAAGTGCACCCCCACCCGGTTGGCCTGCGCCTGCGGTGGGCCAAGGCCTGGAGCTCCTCGAGCGCCCGGGGCCCGAGGCGCGGGCCGGAGGAGGAAGCGGGAGAGGGAGGAGGAGGAGGAGGAGGAGGAGGAGGAGGAGGAGGAGGAGGGAGGGAGGAGGAGGAGGAGGAGGAGGAGGAGGCCCTGTCGCGCGGCACCTCGAGGTCCAGACGCTCCGCGCGGCGGGCCCGGGCAGCTGCGCAGGCCGACGGGGGCACGGCCCCCCCGCGCGGGGGCCGAGGCGGCGGAAGGCGCCCTCGGCGAGGCGAGCCCCAGGGCGCCCTCGGCGAGGCGCCGCTGCTGGAGCGCACCCCGGCACAGGGAGAACCTGCAGGGAATGCCTCATTACCAGACCACCCTGGCCCCACCCGAAGACGCGCATTTCGGGGTTGGGGGGGGAGGGGGGGAGTCGGGCTTCAGGTGTGCCCTTGTTCACAGACTCCCCGCCCCCCCCCCCCTTCCCCACTGGAGATGGAGGGCAAAGTGAGGAGGCCTTGGGATTGGGTCGGGGTGGTTCGGTGGGTGGTGCTTCGTCAGCGCCCGGCAGTGCCCGAAGACGTCCGAGACACCCGGGCCCTCGGCGTCGCGACTTGGTCGCGGCGTGGGCCCCCAGAGGTCTCGACTCGTTCCCCGGGACCAGCTTTCCATCCTCGATCCTCTTCTCTGAAGGGGCCCCAGGACACACAAATATACATACACACAAAGAGAACTATTCCCCACATCTTTCAATCTGTTCTGGGCTTGTGTCTTCCCCCCCACTTCCCATGTCTTCCTATATTTTCCTGGGACTCGACGATTCATTGTGTCTCTGTGTGTGTTTTCCCCTTCCTGATTACCACGGTCCCACGGCCCGACGAGGGCCCCCAGAGGCCGGACCCCCCCCCAAAGCCCTCCACCGTGCTTTTCGCGACAAGTCTGGGGAGTCCCGTGAGTGCTTCGGAAAAGCCGTGGCCAACGTCCGCGGCCACCCCACTGTCCACGCGCATCGTAAGCTCACGGGGGAGAAACGAAGGAAAGGAGGCAGAGGGGGAGGAAGAGGAGGGGCCATGGACTCCATGAGCGCCCGAACACGCTAGAAGACGTCCTTAACAGTTCGAGTAGGAGACGGACTTCAGAATTGACGTACCCCCCTATCCTGTTGCTCGGAACTGCGAAACATACGACTCCTGATCGAAGATCTATGAACCACCTACATGACTTGTGAAGATCCGGCTGAACGAATAGCTGGGCTGAAGCAGTGATGTGGCCGACCTCCTGCTCGAACAGTCTGGGCTTAGGTCGGGCATGTCCCCCTCTACAGGGGCATTTGCGGCGAAGAATCAAAATGCTCAAAACATCCTCCAACAGATGATCAAAAAGAGTCCAACCATCGGCCCCAGATTAGTTTTTGTTGACTATCTTTGAATCTCCCTCCTGCAGAGGGGCAGGCCCGACGTACGCCTGGGCCCCTCCTCCTCCCGAGCGGCCCGCGCGCGGCTGATCCTCCAACAGATGATCAAAAATAGTCCAATCATCGGCCCCAGACTATTTGTTTGACTACTTCTGAATCTTCCTCCTGTCGATGGGGCAGGCCCGACGTACGCCTGGGCCCCTCTGCCTCCCGAGCGGCCCCCGCTCGCGGCGCCTCGGTCGGCCCGCCCTTGCGCCACTGCTTCGCCCAGCTGTCCTCGGCCCGCGGAGATCTCTGCGCGCGCCCGCGGCCCCCTCCCTCGGGGAGCGGCACGGGGGGCGAGGGGGGGGGGGGGGGAGGAGGAAGAGGAGCGGGGAGAGCGGGAAGGGATAGGGGGGAGGAGGAGGAGGAGGGGGGGAGGGATATGGGGGAGGAGGAGGGGAGCGAGGGGGGGGGCGAGGAGGAGGAGGAGCGGGGCGAGCGGGAAGGGATGTGCCCAGAGGGGGCATGGATTGGGGGAGGGACGAGAAGGACGAGGAGGGAGAGCAGGATTCTGATTGCTGATGGGGATGCTGCTGCTGCTGCTGATTATGATGATGATGATGATGATGATGATGATGATGATGATGATGATGATGATGATGATGATGATGATGATGGCGATGAGGAGGAGGAGGAGGAGGAGGAGGACGAAGAAGATGATGAGGATGACGATGCTGATAGTGCTGATGACAGTGATGGTGGCGATCGTGTTCATGATGATGTTGCTGCTGGTGATTATGAAGATGATGATAAGGATGGTGATGATGATGCTAATAATGATAATGATAATGATAATGATAATGATACTGATGATGATGATGACGATGACGATGACGATGACGATGACGATGACGATGACGATGATGATGATGATGATGATGATGATGATGATGATGATGGTGGTGATGATGATGGTGGTGAGGATGATGATGGTGAGAACTAGGAAGAGGCAATGGAGGATAATAGATCACGGAGGCAGAGCAGGGAGACTGTTTGACATCAGCTACTGTTCAGACAGCCAGCAACCTCCCATTACACAAAGTACACGAAGACCACCCAGGAAGGCGAGGCACAGGAAGATGCAGGCGACCACCCAGAACTGCCCCGACACTCAGCCCCAGCAGTTGCGATCTCATCCAGGAGCTCGGCATGCAGCACATAATCAGCGGATTGAACTTGAGGAAGAACATTCAGCGCACAGCGGGTCCGCGGGCCAGCGAAGCGGCAGGGGGACGCACCAGACGCCTCCACCGACACACGGTGCTCAGCCACCGCTTCCAAGGACGCCTGAGCTGAATGCTGCAATCTCCGCGTGGCTCACGGAAAGGCTCGGCGACGGTGCAGGATACCGGGAGCGCTCCTGCAGCCACTGCTGTTGCCTTGCCCAGTGCTCGACGAAGTGGACCGGCTCAACGCCGGGCTGCTCCACGAGACCTGGACACTCCGAAGGAACTCCTGCGTGAACATATCCTCCAGCACCTCGAAGAGCTCGGGGCCCTCCTCAACGACGGAGAGAATACTACCAGCCTCGAACTTGTCCCTATCCCTAAGATCGACACGCCCAAAGGCGATGACAACCTTAGGGGCTCGCCCTCAAAAAAGAAGGGAACCCCTAAGATCGGCATCGTGATGAGGAGATGCCCAGCATAGGCTATGTAGGGATAGGGAGATGTTCCAGGCTGGTAAGAATAGGCTCCTCGGGCAGCACGCTCCAAACGCCAGGGCACGACCCCCGCCGCCCCCCGCAGAAAAAGCGAGCGGTGCCCGGCAGGATCTCCTCGCGCCGTGCTGCGACGCGGGGCCCGCGCTGGATGCCGCGAGACACTGCGGCGCCCGCCTCCGCCACGTCGATGCCGCCAGCGTCGGCGTGGAGGGCGGCATTCCGCCGCAACTTCTCCAACCTGGTGGGCTCCACGCCGCCCAGCAAAGCCGTCAGGCATGAGCGCATGCACTGCACATCGGAGGTTGGGGGGCGAGATCGCAGTGGAACGGAGACCCCCAACCTGGAAGTCGTTTCGTGTCGTTCGTGTCGTGCGTGCGGGCGAGGCGAAACAGCGTGGGCGCGCGGGAGGAATGAACCCGCCGTTGCCAGGGCGAAGTCAAGACAAATGTTTCTCCTCCGTCCGTCCGTCTGTCTGGCGGTGGCTTAAGCGGTGTCCCGCGGTGTCCCGTGGTGTCCCGTGGTGTCCGCCGTTGCTAGGGCGAAGTCAAGACAAATGTTTCTCCTCCGTCCGTCCGTCCGTCCTTCCGGCGGTGGCTCGCGGTGTCCCGCGGTGTCCCGTGATGCCCCGTGGTGTCCCGTGGTGTCCCGTGGTGTCCCGTTGAATGAGATCGAGAGTGAGATCGATAGTGACTAAGATCGATGTGGTGCCCAGAGGTGTCCCGTGGTGTCCTAAAAACCAAGATCGATAATGACATCGATAGTGAGATCGACAGGTGTCCCGTGGTGTCCCGTTGAGTGAAATCGATAGTGGGATCGATCGTGAGATCGATGCTGAGATCGATGTGGTGCCCCGAGGTGTCCCGTGGTGTCCCAATAAATGAGATCGACAAAGAGATCGACAGGTGTCGCGTGGTGTCCCGTTGAGTGAGATCGATAATAAGATCGATAGTGAGATCGATGTGGTGTCCCGAGGTGTCCCGTGGTGTCTCGGGGTGTCCTATGGTGTCCTGTTGAGTGAGATCGATAGTGAGATCGATAGTGAGACCGATAGTGAGACCGAGAGGTGTCCCGCGGTGTCCCGTGGTGTCCCGTTGAGTGAGATCGATAGTGAGATCGATAGTGAGATCGACAAATAAATGTCCCGTGGTGTCCCGTGATGTTCCGTTGAGTGAGATCGATAGTGAGATCGATTGAGTCAGATGTTGGTTCCCCCCTCGCACCACCTCCCTATCTTCCGAAGGGTGGTCGTATAGGTACTTGTATGCAACTCTGGCAGTGTACGACGACGGGGGAAGAGGATAACGATAACGATACCGACGACAGGGAGAGAATATTGTGAGAAAGAAAGGGAGGACGAGGAGGAGAAATATTAACAGGATGTGGAAGAAGCGGGCGGGGGGATTGGAAGGGGGATTGGGGGTGGTGATGGGGAGGACTATGGGGCACACCAGGACGCATAACACGAAGGCTCTCCACCCAGTTCTCACTCTCTATCCTTCGCTCTATCTTTCTCTCTGTCACTCGTTCTCTCTTTCTCTGCATTTCCTTCTCCCCCTCCCTCTCCATCTCCCTCTCCCTCTCCATCTCCCTCTGCCACCCGCTGATCCTCCCTGCCCAGGCAGCGCTCACTCGCGGTCGCAATCTACGGGTCAGTCAAGCGTAGGCGGCCCCTCTCTTCCCCCCCGTCCACGTTCTCGCCCTCCTCGTCGTCTTCGTCGTCCTCCTCGCACTCGTCGTCGTCCCCCTCCCCTCCTTGCTGCACTCCTGCCGTCGTCCTCGTGTTCGTCCTCCTCTTCATCGTCAACCCTTCCTCCTCCCCCTCCCCCTCCTGCACCACCTCTGTCTCGGAGCGAGGCGAGTTGAGACAATGGCAATCACAAATCGGTCCTGGGACCCCTCTTGGGGTCCAAACGCACCAATGTGCCGAGTCGCATTTTGCCGTGGCGACGAGGGGGACCCCCGAAGGTCAACTTCCGACGTCTCAACTCGCCCTCATGGGACGTGGCGCGCGCAGCGCGCCAGAAGCGACACCGGAGGCGCCACCGGGGGGGGGCCCAACGCCGATCCAAGAAATCCGCGTGGAGCTTCGAGAAATTGCAGATGCCGTGCTTTAATCAAATCCACCCTTCCTCCTTCCCATCCCCCTCCTCCACCACCTCTTTCACCACCAGCGTTGCCACCTTCAGCTCTCCAAGTCCTCCCCCGGACCCGCCCTACACTGGCAGCACCCGCCGTCCGCAAGGCCAACTTTGGCCGTGATGAGCAGCTCCGAAACGCGCGGCCTCTCCTTCATGCACAAGTTGAGCAGCGCCTGCGGCGCTGCTCGCCGTCACTCGGCGGCGGCGGCGACGGCGACGTTGACCAGCACGGCCACGCTGGCGAGGACGGCTGCGGCGCCCACGGCGACGGTGCCTGCCGACGACGACGAGGCAAGCGACGTGCTGCTCATCGCTTCCATCGCCTTGCTCCTCTTGCACCTCCCCCTGCCCCTCGTCGTCGTCCTCGTCATCCTTGCGCTCCTTTCCCCCCCCGTTCTCCTCTTTCCTCCCGATTCCCTCCCCTCCCCCACTTCGACGCGAAAACGAGCGCCAAGGACAAAAACGAAAGCAACAGAGGAGGAGGAGGAGGAGGAGGAGGAGGGAGGAGGAGGGAGGAGGAGGAGGAGGAGGAGGACGAGGAGGACCCTTCCTCCTCCCAACCCCTCCCCCTCCCTGGCCCCCTTGGCCTCCCGCCCTGCCTCCTCCCAACTCCTGGCCCTGACTCCTGCCCCGGCCCTCGCCCTGCCTCCTGCTCCTGGCCCTCGCCCTGCCTCCTGCCCCCCCCCCCCTCCCTGGCCCCCTGGCCCTCCCCCTCCCCCTCCCTGGCCCCCTGGCCCCCTGCCTCCTCCCAACTCCTCCCCCTCTCCCTCCCTGGCCCCCTGGCCCCCCGCCCTCCCCTTCGCGTGGCCGCTGCTTCCTGAAGGCGCCAACCCTGAGTCGCTGCCTCACGGTCTCCACGCCCCCGGGGCCCAGTGCGAGCCCTCACGGGGGGCAACATTGCCAAGGACCTTCAGTCATGGTCGCTCTCCTCCTCCTCCTCCTCCTCCTCCTCCTTCTCCTCCTCGACGCGAGGCCTGGACGGCACCCTCCTGCGAACCCTGCCCCTGCAGGTCCGATCTCCGAAACGCAGCCGGGGTTCAGAATTCGAGGGATGCCGGGCCATGGAGCCCCGGCTGGTGTGTGTGCGACGCCCCGCGCCGATGGGACCCGCAGAGGCAGGGCCCGGAAATGGTAGCCGATCTGGGTGCTCCCCCCGCCCCCCTGCTCTCACTCGCCTGCTAAATGGGTGTCGGATATGTGGGGGGTCAAAGTCACAGCGCACGGCAAAGAAGGAAGAAGCAATTTCTGATACTGCAGACATGTCCGATGCCACTGCTACGGAGAAGCATAGGAATAACCATTTGAACAGGTCCAGGTCTTTTTAAAACTTACAAAGAAGGGGAGAGGACAGAGGGCAGGGGGGGTCCTTTTTTTCCAAGTTGCGAAGGCGGCAGCAATCAAGCACCGCGTGCCCCCCGCCGCTCCACTATGGGATAGCCCGCCTACATCCACACAGGGCTCAGTGGCGGCCCTGTGCCAGCTGTGAGGGCTCCACAGCGCTGCGCGGCCTCCGGGCGGTGGTGGTGCATTCGATGACCTTACGTCCCAATCCGCGCCTCGCGGGGCCTCCGCTGGCCATCCCTGGTCTCTATCCGTTGCCCAGGGGTTCCCCATGGTCAACACAAGTCCGAAGGAAGGTCCGCGTCCCCTTTCCAACCGCTCCGAACACCCTTGCCTCCACGGCCTGGATACGCTCCTTGCCGGCTCTGTTTCCACGACGTCCTTCCAGTCCTCTTCACCGGGAAATTCTCCCTGTCGCCCGCCTGGATAAGCATTCGCCCTTCAGACCCGCCATTCCTCGCAATTGCTCCCAGCTTCTTCGCCCCGTCTGAACACCAGCTTCCGCTTGCTGTTGAGCTGGGCCCCCTCCCCCTTGAGGGTGATGTTAAACCACCAATCGTCCTCCGTGCGCAGCTCCTCCAACGCGCGGGATCCTTCCGGGGGACGGAGTAGGTGCCCAGACGAGGTCCGCCTCCTCCGCGTCCACCTCGTCTACCCGAGCAAAGCGCAAGTCGATCTCCGAGCTGGCACCGACCGCCAGGCCCGCGCATTCCGAAACTCGCGGGGTGTGGGGGGGGGCACCCCAGCGCTCGGGCCGCCGGGTTCCCTCACGTGTTCCGTGTCCGCGCCACTGAGCTGGAGACGCGGTTGTGGTGATCTCTATCTTCGTCGCGTGTCTCGTCAAGCTCAGGGGATGTGGTATTTGACTCGCCTCTCGGGCTGGGCGAAAGGGGTGGATAGCAACGGGGGGGGTTGAGAATCAGCTCACGTAGCTGATTTTCCCGGCGCCTCTCGGCGCCGGAGGCGGCTATGCATCGAGGAATGGGCTCCTCGGTGGGGCCGAAGCCAGCT